GTGTTGTCCTTGTTCGGTTTTGGCTATTAGTGTAATGTTGGCTTCATAGAACGTGTTTGGTATTGTCCTTCCTTCTCAATTTTTTGGAAGAGTTTGTGAAGGATAGGCACTAATTCGTCTCTGAATGTTTGGTAGAATTCATTTGTAAATCCATCAGGTCCTGGGCTTTTGTTTTTGGGGAGGTTTTTGATTACCATTTCAATTTCGCTAATTGTAATTGGTCTGTTTAGGTGTTCTATTTCTTCTTTATCTAGCTTTGGGTGATTGTAGAGTTGTAGGAATTTGTCCATCTCCTCTAGATTGTTAAACTTGTTTCCATATAACTGTTCATAGTAGTTACTGATTATTCTTTTGATTTCTGCTGTGTCCGTTGTGATTTCTCCTCTTTCATTGATGATCCTGTTTATTTGTGCTTTCTCCCTTTTTTCCTTTGTGAGCCTGGCTAGGGTTTGTCTATTTTATTGATTTTTCAAAGAACCAGCTCTTGGTTTCATTGATCTTTTGATTGTTTTTTTAGTTTCAATTTCATTTATTTCTGCTTTGGTTTTTATTATTTCTTTTCTTCTACTGGTTTTGGGGTTTTTTTGTTGTTCTTTTTCTAGATCTTTGAGCTTCGAGATTAGGTTGTTTCTTTGAGTTCTTTCTTGTTTCTTGATGTGAGCTTCTATTGCTATATATTTTCCTCTTATTACTGCTTTTGCTGCATCCCATACATTTAGGATATTGGTGTCCTCCTTGTCATTCAATTCAAAAAATTTTTTAATTTCTTCTTTCATCTCCTCATTAGTCCAGTGGTCTTTCAGTAGTGTGGTTTTTAATCTCCATGAGGTAGGAAAGTTCCTTGCCTTCCTTTTATGGTTTATTTCTAGTTTGATGCCTTCATGGTCAGAAAAGATGGTTGATATGATTTCAATCTTGGTGTATCTGTTGATGTTTGTCTTGTGCCCCAGTATGTGATCGATCCTGGAGAATGATCCGTGTGCGCTTGAGAAAAATGTGTACTCCGTTTTTTGGGGTTTAGTGTTCTATAGATGTCTGTTAAGCCCAATTGCTCTAGGTCCTTATTTAGAGCTTTGGTTTCTTTACTTATTTTTTGTCTTGTTGATCTATCCATTGTTGATAGTGGTGTGTTGAAGTCTCCCACTACGTATGTGTTTTCTCTGATGTCTGTTTTCAGAGAGGACAACAGTTGTCTGATATATTTTGGTGCTCCTTCGTTTGGTGAGTATATGTTAATGAGTGTTATTTCTTCTTGAAGTATTGTCCCCTTGATCATAATGTAGTGACCATTGGGGTCTCTTTTTATCTTTTTGAGTTTGAAATCTGTTTTATCTGTTATAAGTATAGCTGTTCCTGCTTTCTTTTTTGGTCCATTTGCTTGTAGGATTGTTTTCCATCCTTTGACTTTGAGCCTATTTTTATCTTTTGTAGCTAAATGTGTTTCCTGGAGACAGCAAAAGGTTGGGTTTTGTTTCTTAATCCAGGCTGCCACTCTGTGTCTTTTTATTGAAGAGTTTAGTCCATTTACATTTAGAGTTAATATTGATATGTTAACATCTGTATTTGCCATTGTGTTTGTCTTTCCTTTGATTTTATTTATTTATTCTTTTAATAACTTTTTTTTTTTTGGCCTTCTTTCATTGTTATTCGTCCCTCTGAGGTTCTGGCTTTAGGACTCCTTGTAGTATTTTTTGGAGTGGGGTTTAGTTGCAATGAAATTCCGGAGTTTCTGTTTGTCTGGGAAAGTCCATATTCTTTCTTCAAAGAGGAAGGAGAGCTTTGCGGGATAGAGTATTCTTGGTTGGCATCTGTTTTCTTGGAGTCTGTTGACTATGTCCCTCCACTCTCTCCTTGACCGTAGTGTTTCTTCGGAGAAGTCTGATGTCAGCCTGATTGGCTTTCCTTTGAATGTTATCTGTTTCTTCCCTCTTGCCAGCTTCATTATTTTTTCCTTGTCCTGGATTCTTGGGAGCTTTGCTATTATGTGTCTTGCTGTATTTTTCCTTTCGTCGTGGAAGTTTGGTGTTCTTCTTGCTTCTTGTATATCAATTTTCAGCTCCTCCTTCACATTTGGGAAATTCTCTTCAATTATCTCTTTGAATATTTTCTCTGTTCCTACTTCTCTCTCCTCTCCTTCTGGTATTCCTATAACTCTTATATTTCCTTTCCTCATGGAGTCAGATAGTTCCCGAAGTCTTTCTTCATTCTTTTTCCTTCGTACTTCTCTTTCCTTTTCTGTTTTGGTTCGTTTTATTTCTGTGTCTTCAAGAGTACTTATTCGTTCTTCCATTTCATCAATTCTGCTTTCATTGCTTTTCCCAGAATTCTTTAGTTCTTCCATTAATTCTTTGATCTCCTGCATTTCTTTTACTTCCTCTTTAGGGACTCAATTTCATTCTTCTGATCGTTGATTATTTTTCCCTTATCATTGTTTTCCTTTATGACTTCTGTCAGTTTTTTAATCACGGCAATTTTAAATTCTCTTTCTGGAAGGCTCAGAAGTTCTTCCAAGTTACTGTCGTTGCCATCTGGGGGCTGGTTTTCTTTTTGTGGTGTGCTTTTTCTCTGGAGAGTTGCTAGGTTGCGTGTGGTTCTTCTCCTCCCTACTGTCTGTTTTCTAATTTGCCGTATGCGTTGGGACACTGTGTAGTTGGGACTGGCCGGCATCTTGGGTGGGCTTCTCTGCTCCCCTCTGGTTCCTCCAGGAGTCATCTGTCAGTTTCAAGCAGTCTTTACTGGAGAAAGGTCCCTGTTCTAAAATGCCGATGTGGGGACACACTCCCCTGTGCGCCTGGTCTGCCCCGGCGGTGGGTTCCTGCTCCCCCTCTGGGCTTGGACTGCAGGCCAGAGGGGGTCTGGCGTGGGCGAACTTCCCCCGCTCACCTCTGGCTCCTGAGGAAGCCTTCTGCAGGTAGTCTTTACTGAAGAAATGTCCCTGTTCTAAAATGGTGATGTGGGACACACTCCCTGCGCGTCCGGTCTCAGGCACACTCTTCTGCGCGCCTGGTCTGCCCCGGCTGTGGGTGCTCGCTCTCCCTGTGGGCTCAGACTACTTGTTCGGAAGGGGCCCGGCGTGGGCTCACTCCCCAGCTGGCCACTAGCTCCTTCAGGAGCCTGTGCTGGCTTCAAGTCACTAGGTGGCGCCAGAGATCTCTCCTAGAGCCCTTGGGGAGCTGCTTTTCCACCCCGTGGGACAGGGAGCAGAGCAGGGATGGTAGGGTACACCTCAACGGCTTTGGGGTGCTGTGTCTGCCTTGTGCCCCACCGTCGTGGGGAACCCACGCCCCTAATTTCGTGCCCCGGGTCTCAGTTCCAAAGCCCTCAGTTCCAGGACGCGGGCTGTAGCCCAGTTCAGTGGCGCGGGAATGGCGCCTTTTGAATCCCGCTCCCCTGCCTGGGCGCCTGGTTCCTGCTCTCTCCGGGAGGGCCTCCGTGCGTCTCCCCGCAAGCCTAGGTCGTCTCCCCGCAAGCCTAGGTCGCAGGCGCGGGGACCTGGGCAGCTGCGATCCGATCCGCGCAATCCGCGCCGCTTTCCCCGCGCAATCCCGCTCCGCGTCTGTTTTTTCCGGTGCGCCGCTTTTCCGCACAGGCTTACCGGGCGGCTGGGGCTGTGTGCTGGGGCTGGTCTCCTCCTGGGCGGGGCTCTCTTCAATGGCGCCCGGAGCTCACCTCCGCGGCGGATCCTGCGGGGTTCTCCACAGCTCCCGTTCACAGGGTGTGGTGGCTGCAATAGTTCCTTTCCACTCACAGTCCCGCTTGCTGCGTCGTTTGTTCTTGTTGGCCGTTTTGGTTTGTTGTTTCCTCCTCTCTGCCGGTCGGAGAGTGCCGCCTCTGTGGGCGGGGGAGGGGAGCAGGGTTCTGAGCTTCCCTCCCTTCTGGTCCTCTTTTATGGCCACTTTCTTCTTCGGGCAGTTTGCTGGAGTCGTCCGTTTATCTTCCGTGTCCCGGTTCTCACTGGGACCTGCCGCTTTTCCTCCCTATTAACTTTTTTTAATGGGAGATCTTACTCGCAGCGTCTCCTCGCCGCCATGTTGCTCCGCCCCCCCACCTCTAACTGTATCTTGATATAGTCTCCACTGCTCCCTAAGGACCGCTATTTCTTTCATTTATTTTCAGGTAAAACCTAGAAATTTCCACTTAGTTTTTCTCCATCTTTTTTCCCCATTGCTAAGTTTAAGAGTATTGAAGTGTCATTGGAGAAAAGACTTGGGGAAATAATTCCTATTATGATGAATTCATCTTCACCTGGCAATCCTAGTCTTACCTATTGCTTAAGTGATCAAATTTTGCCAACGCACCTGGAAACCACAAACATTTAAGAAAAACCTTAGCAACTCTAAGAAATGGGTTAAACTATAAAGACTAATTTTTAAATGATCAGATTTGAGTAATTTAACTTCTTTTCCTACCTGTGCTCCTTATTAAGACCCTTTTTTAGTAAATATTTGCTTTCAATGCTCCATGCCCAATAAATGATTTTGTTTTTCCTGATGACCAAATTTATATGATTTTCAGGCCATTTCTAATTGCTTATCTTTCCAAATTGGTCTGTTTCCTTTATTATTAGAGTCTCTGTGTTAAAACTTTCACAGTAATTACATCTTGGAATCATGGTAGTTAGTCCTAATTTCACCTATCTTATCCTATTGTGATACTATGTATCTCAGTATTCAAATGTACACCCCAAACCAATGCTAGAAAGCCAAAGTGCAATATTAGAAGGAGTGTAATTCTGTTCTCATTCCATGTACATAGCAGGTATAAAGTAAATATTAGACATGTATGTGGTGAAGGCACATAAATGGCAGAGCAAAGATACAGAAACTGTTGGTATTGACATGTTATAAGTGCATAAGTAAAATTTTATACAGTGATAAGCATATATTTTGGAGAAATAAATAGTGTGATACTACACTTGATCTTAGCCAAAAGACCGAGAAGCGATAGCATGATAGTTGATAATAAAGTATGAGTATAAAGTCAGCAGACTTATAACTTACTTTCATAAGTTACACCTAACATAACCCATGAAGCCATATAATTGAAGTATAGAAGTTGCTCAAGAACAAAATCATTCTCTTTTTCATCTCGAATGCTCAGAATATGTGATTTTGGATCTGTTGAATAAAAAACTTAGTCAGTAATTTAAGAAATTCTCTCGAATGCTTTATTTTGTTTGATAGATTTAGAAACCCCCTCCTCCCTCCAGTTTAATATACTCCAAAACTTAAACAATAGTGGAAAACAAGAAAGACATGCAAATTAAAACTTTCTCATTGTATTAAATTGAATAGGCTAGGGCATTTTCAAACATTTCGACGCTGAATTTGGTCTTATAGAATAATGAGAAAACCAGTAAATGAGAATTTAAAACATTGATTCATTTAACTTTTCCCACCTAAGGCTTATTTTGAATTGGTGCAAATCCTCTATATTAATGCCATATTGTCAAAGACTATAATAAATAAAGCTGCTTGGATGGGTTGTAAGCTAGAGCTTCCTTTTCTTAAAGATCACTCTTATATTGGGACTTACAAAGTTTATATTTCCCAAAATGTGTTACACAGAAAATTAGCAGGAGCTCTTCAGAAAAAGGCTGCATGAATAAAAACTTTGAAATATTAGTTAAATGAAGTTAAACTACCTCATTTATATTGCAGTATCTTAATATCCTATGGGAAGCATTGGTGTTTCTAAACTTTGTTATTTTTTTAAGTGTACATTTATGTTGAACATCTCTTAAAATTAGTGTTCTATGGACCACCCTTTGGGGAACACTTTGATATTTTCCATAGGAACTTTCCACCAAATTCATAGGTTCATTGTTGAAAAGTCCCAAGTATTCAGTAATCTCAAAGGAAATATCTGAAGAATCTTGAGAGCTGAAAGTATAAAATATGGATTTCTTTAAAGCAGAGTTGCTTCTTTGCAATTTATCTATGCTTTTGACCACTCAAATGAGCCAATTTTCTCTTTGCCCATAGATTACTTTAACACTCTCTTCTCTGCTCACTAGTGTCATTTCTTTTCCTTTTAAAGTAGAATCCATTTTGTTTATACATGCAGAAATAGACTAATGGACTATTTCTGTAATGGACAGGTAAAGAAATTTACCTGTTAAACTTTCCCATTTTAACTAAATACAAATTAACATATGTTGTCATTGACAATGTAGAAATTAGGAGATTTAATTATCAGTGTCAGAAATAATTATAACACACTCAAGTGAGGTTTTTTTTTTTTTAAAAAATGAGTATTATACAATATATATTGGCAATACAGTGTACTTACGCAGTTTTTGACATTGATTATGTACTTCATCTTGTGTTATTGCAGTATGTCTATTCTTTGCTATCATAAATTGTAGCAACAGTTCTGAAATGGTATCCATGGAGTATTTAGAACAGGAGATGGACATTGAATATTGCCAACTGGTTTGGCCTCTTTTTCAGTCTCATCTAGAGAAAGAATTAATGGTAAGAATTCTTATTTCAGGTATAAATGTTAAATCCTGTTCACAGTAATTAGATGTGATTTGTAGCAAATATCCAGGAAGTCAAGAAATAATAGCTTGGTAATGCTCCTTCTGTTTATATTCAAATATAGTGTGACCTCTTAACAAGCTTTCTGTAGCAAGGAAATTAACACAATTTTCTTTCCCCTGCTGTGGACTGAGTGGAAGAATGTAAAAATGAGGTGCTATTAGGTTAAATGAAGTTTCTGTCTTCCTGCATTACCAAATGTCAAATATGAGGGGCCACTTCCGAGAAACTATACAAATATATTAAATCAGACATCTATCACTTTGAAAATTCATCTTCAAATTTCTGCTAACTAATCTCTAACTTTAAAGGAATATTTTAATGAAAATTCATCTTCTAAATACTTTATTGCTTTAACAAAGCAGACACAAATAATTTAAAATATGACATCTAGAAAATCTGATTGTGGCTTTTTTCCACTTTATAAAAAGTATACATTCAAAGCAAAGCAAATACAGTTAAGTTCTACTTAAAGCAAATAAAACTGATTTGATATTTAGTAGAGACTGTTCTGCATCTTCCCCAGCTTACAACTCTCTTTGTGTGTGGTGTTATCTTTCTACCACAAACCCACAAATGTGGACTCCGGGCTATTGTAACACGATTGTCCTCTGATGGTGCTAGAGACTGCATACCTGACTCAAGCTGAGTCCATCAGATTCTTAGAATCTGAAATATGGATTTCTGAGATAGTCCATCTCCAGTTATGGCTATGAACAAACAACTGCAGAGCCACCACCTTTTGCCACATGCAGAGAGAAATGGGAAGTACATAGACAAAAGAATGCAGATCCACAGACAGAAACCGAGGGGAGAGGTGAAGAGAGTATCTTTGGTTCTTGATTCCCCTTAAGTTCTTGATTCCTGCTCTTCTTGAGGTTCAGCTCTATCGCCATTTTGAGAACCTAAATTTCCCTTTAAGCTTAAGCGAGTTTGAGTAGAGGGCTATTCCTTGCAAAATAAATGGCTCAGAAAAGCAATGTCAGTTGTTGATAAGAATTATAGAAGAATTCCCACAAATACAAGTGTTCTATAAAAATATAAATACAACTATATGCAAACTGAGACTAACAGGGACTCAATGTTAATTACCATTGTCAGCTAATATAAAAATAAAGATTAAAACAAGTATTAACAAAGTAATGATAAGACATTTAATATATAATAATTCTACTTGAATACAAATTTTCACAAATCTCTTATGAAAAGGATACTATAATTTCTTTACAATTTTAAAACCAGATTTTACAAAATCATGTCCCCAAATTCTCCTATTCATGAGACCAATAGTAATTTAACAATTAAAATAAATGAAATTAGCATACTTCCTGGATAGTAGCAAATAGCACCTGGTTGATAATCATTACAATCAGATGTTTTCCAGAATCCATCAGGATCTAATATTACACAGGCTTCAAGTTGCTCATTATTTTCAGCCCAGCGAGTAAATTGAAGATGTTTCCCATCTGACCAGCCAAAGTTGAGTTCATCCTAGGGTGCAGAAATACCTTTAAGGTGATAATACTTCATGTACTCCCTTTTGTATTATTTTGACCCTCATGGTCAATAATGATTTTTGATTACATCTTAACACATCTTTGAAGACATATATGTAGCATTACTATGCTTCAGGCACTGTTCCAAGTGCTTTACAAATATTAACCTATCTAAACTTCATAATAACCATATGAGACAGAGACACTATTATACCTATTTGCAGCTGAGGAAATTGAAGACATGTAAGGTGCATAAAGTCACATAGAATATAAACTGCAGTGCTGAAATGCTAACCTAGGCCCTAGAGTCCATATTCTGAATCATTACGTTACGCTATCTCACACATAATAGGAAATGTTGGTTGTCAGATATCAGAAAGTTTATGTGGAATGAGAACCATTTTAAGTACTGACATAGTTGGAGACAACATGGCATAGTGGAGAGAACATGGACTTTGGAGCTAAGTGTACCTTAGCTTCAGTCACTTATTAGTTTTTGATTGTGAGTTTTCCTTACCAAGTTTCCATCCCCTTATCTATTAAATGGATATGACAATGAACCTCATGGGGTCAGAATCAATGGAATAATGTATGAAACATAATTCAGTTGCTAGCTGGTACATAAAAGCGCTATTTAAACATTAGCTCCCCTCCTCTTAACCTCTCAGGCCTTGTGGGTCTTACCCTACTGTTTTCACACCTGCCTTTGAGGAGAAACTTCCCCATTCACTATATTCTATTGTGTGCTGGAAGTCTGTGAACATCTATATTTACATCCTAACAAGTGCCTAACCCCATATGATTTTTAATTCTACCTTTCCTCTTTTTTTCATTAGCTGAACAGACACAGCAGCTCCTGATTGCAACACATTGTTGGTATGAATTAAAAAAAGTGTTCAGGGGCCTCCCTGGTGGTGCAAGGGGTAAAGTGTCAGCACTATGAAGCTATCTGCAACCATTACAGCATGAGTTCGATCCCCAGCCAGGGAGTTGACCCACATGGTGCAGCAGACCTCTCCTGTCTCATCCGCTGCTCCCCTTAGCAGTATATTTCAGTGGATCTGCCTATTCTACTCCCCACTCTGTCTCTGGGGAATCCTCTCACCACCCCCACACCTCTGGTCTGTACCCCAGCTCTTGTATGCATAAATCAATAAATCTTTTTTTTTTTAAAAAAAGTGTTCAAGTACATGTTCATTAGAACTCTGTCTTAAACAATAAAACACCAGATCTTTTAACAGTGCAAAGAGGATAGTCTCTAAAAATTACATACTCTACAAAATCCATTCACTGAAATAAGATTTTAAACAACCTTCCATTTCTTTTAATCTGTTATGAAGACGGTTACGAAGAATAAAAAACGGCACATTCTATCACTCAATCTTGGAAGTTGACACTGAAAACTTACATCTTGACTGATGAGTCCAATCCATAAAGAAGCATTTCGAAGGGCTGCCTGCACAGTGAGAAACGCCTGCTGGAAATGGTCTGTGATGCTCACCAAGTGCATGTTATCTTTCTGACACTCCATGAGTGCATCAGACCAACTCAGATTCTTCATGATTATTTTGTACAGATTATTTAGGTACTTTACAGTTTCTGAAGTGTTCTGCAAGGTCTGGTTGGCTTCAATTTCTGTGTGCAAAAGAAAAATAAAAACCCACAAAGACTATCCACACTGCAAGTCATAGGATATTTTTTCAAATATCTCCCAGTATGTATCTACTTATTTATTTATGCAATTCAGGTTTTTAGTGGAAGAACTTGGTATGTTTTTCTGCATACCTTCGGTAAAATGTATGTGCCACAACATTTGTTTTCTAAAATTAGAACTAAGTTCTGTTTTAGTTAATCTGATTTAGGAAGGAGAAAGCTATAAATAGCTGTAGTAGAATGCTTTTTCAGGTAGGTGTCGAATACCTCCTTGGTTGAAATGCTTCAACAAGAGAAGATGTTAGGTGTTTTCTTACAAATTTTTCATCTAGGAGAGCTCTCACAAAAAATACACACACACACACACACACCCATCCACAAGATATAAACTTTATTTGCATTATTACTTTATAGTACTACTCTGAATAAGGTAGTTACTAAGAAGTGAGACAAATGGGCAAAGATTAATTTAGCATAAAATTTCTTGAAAAGTACAAGGAAAATATATTTATGGTTTTCACTACATGACAAAATTAAAAAATACATTTGTTAAAAACTTACTGTGATCAATGAAAACAATTTAATACCTTTCTTAAAAATATCTCTGTGAATATGATCATTTCTTTTTTATAGATTTTATTTTTATTTGGATTATGGAAGGCATAGAGATCCTTTTATAATGCTTTCCATCCTTTTTTGTTTTTTTTTTTTTTTTTTGGTGCTAAATTTAATAGTGAATGTTTATACTGGACTCAATTGAAAATATTAAGAGTTTTAGCCTCTTTTCCCCAAAACAGAAAGTAAACTGAAAATTACCAGAATAGAAAGGAGAACAAGATACAACTTTAACTTTCTATCATTAGACAGCTCTTCTTCCTAATCCTACTACTAAGCCTCATTTGTTGCTTAATTTTTATATTTAATTAAATATAGTAATGATACTTGAAAAATCACATTCCCTTTAAAATAATCTAAGAAAATAAAGATTTAGTCAAATTGAAATTTTAAGGAAGCTACATGATTATAAATAGTAATTCATTTATAAGATGTTTATGAAAAAGTAACGGACATAGGCAATAGCATAAAATACCATAGTTATTTACATAATAATCCATACCTGAATATTTCTGACAGAGAGCTAGAGTGTGGCTTTCACTACAGGAAGTAAAATTCCATGTCCCAATAAAAGGTGACTTTTGGAGGTTGACCATTAGGGCACAGTGGAAGTGGGACTCTTCTTCAAAAAACTAAGAAAAAAAGGTAAATTGTTGGAGCAATCATGAAACTAATAGTTAGAAGATACTAGCCAGAGAACTTGATATACCTGGTTGAGTTTCCCTCCTGTGAAAAAATTCCATGAAGGAGCTAACTATGAAACCACTAAGAAAATCCTGATAACATCCAAAGCCTGGGAAAGGGGCATTTAATTTCAGAAAACAAGATAGTGACAGAATCAATAAATGTATTTCCAAACATATAATGACAAACTGTTAAAGATGAAAATAAAATTATAGTAATATTTAACACTCAGCTATCACTCTTCACAGCTCAAGCAGAGATTGCTAATTAACTTATTAGATTTTTATAAAGACAAACTGTATACTATGTGATAGAGAAATCACTTAAAGCTTTAATTCAGTACTATTTACCATAAAAATTTCAGTAAGTATCTATTTAGATTTCACTCCCAACCACAAATTAGTAATACTAGACATGAAAATTTATTCAAATTATACTGTCCCTATACTTTTGCATATTTTTGAAATATACCATACTTAGAATATAAGAAAAGTAAGTTTATCCCAGGCACTACAGATGAAAAAAGCATATACACATGATACCAAATAAATACTAAGCTGAAAATGAAATAATCACAAAAAAGAATAATATGCTAAATAGAAAAACTTTATGCTTTGTGTATACATTATTAATAATGTATACATTGATACACACATAATTATAATATATATTATATATTACATGTACTAATATATAAATATGTAATATAATACTGTTATGATATAATATATGTAATATGTAATATAATATATACAATATACATTATATAATATATATATAATGTACATTATTAAATGTTTTTTAAAGGAAAGATAAACTAAGAATTTAATATAGGAAATTAGGACATGAACAATACACAACTCCAAGAAAAACAGTATATAATAAGGCAGTGGTATACATAAATGTATCTCAAGCAATAGGAGTGGAGGGTGGAGAAGAGGGAGAAGAAACCCAATAACATACACCAGTTTTTGTAAAAATCTAAATAAGGAAAAGTTAAAACAATCAAAAAAAGATATGAAGATTTAAAATTATAATACCACAAACAACTCTCATCTAATACATTTGAAAATTTAAATGAAATAGCCAAGTTTCTTAAAAAATACAAATTACCATAATTATTACAAGAAGAAACACCAAAACATACCAGTAATTTTGAAAGAAACTGAAAATAATAATAGCTCATTTTAAAAGCAAGTAAGGTACTGTGCTAAAAAGCTTAAAATGAATAATCTCATATAATCCTTATGCTCTAAATACAACAGTATCAGAATTTACAGATGAAAAAGTAAGACATAAGAAAAGTTAAGTGTACTTCTAAAGGCATCCTGTTGTCTGAATGGAATTCAAACCTAATCAATCTGACTCTAGAGTTTAGATTCTCACTGCTGCACCAAAAACTTTTATTATTAAAGAATGATTTCTGAAAAGGGTTCTAGCATCATGTGGGTTTGCAAGTAGTTTCTTCAAACCTTCAGGAAGAGATAATTTCACAGGCTGAGACATATTTTCAAAACACAAACCAGAAACCTACCCAGTTCATCTTATGAAGCTAACATGATCAGAAAAATAATCTGGCAATGTAGCATAAAAAATTAACTGTGAATATAGTTGAATACATTCCAAAAAAGAAATTTTAACGAATTTAACTTAGTAGAATGATAAAATAATAATTCACTTTGAGTCACTCAATTTTAGAATGACAACATAAAGATGATTTAAAATAACAGTATTAATGTTACATTAGTGTATTACACCACATATCAATAGTCCTAATGAGAAAAGCCATATGACAATTTCAATAGACACTGGAAACAAGTTTTAGAAAGTATAGTACTTATTCTTAAATAAAAATTTTAAAAATGTTTGTTATAGTATGACGTATCTTAAAATGGCAAAATCATGTATAACAATGCAGGAAGGCAGACAGTCCCATTAGAGTCCTGATCAAGTCTAGGATAGTGGCTATTTCACCTAGTATTTTCCACCTTTCTGCAAGTCCCTGCATATGTAGTGAAGCATGAACTGCTATTTATAGATTATGATAATCTAATAAGGATACACATGAAAATCTGCTGAAAAGTTCTAAGAAGTAATAAGAGCTTTTAGCAAGATAGATGCCTGTGAAATAAATATATAAAATGCCAAACAATAACTTTCCTAATATACAAAGAAAAAATCAAGAAAAACCTGCCATTACCAATGGCAATAAGAGACAGAAACCCTAGAAACATGTCACAGAGTGGTCTACAGGAAGACTTGAATAAATGGAGACATATATACCACATATATGTTCTTAAACTGGAAAATTAAAAAAGATGTCAATTCATTTTAAGTGTCAAATCCACATAGAAGGTTTATATTTAATTGTTGTGGTTGGAAATTTACTAAATTATTTTAAATTTTGCCTAGAAAAGTGGACAAGAATAAAAATATTTTTAAAAAGGCATACAATAAAGCATAACTCACACTATTTTTTAAAACATTGTGAAATTATACTATTTAGGCCAGTATGGCAATTATATAGGGGCATATCTCATACACACAATATATATATGATAAAGGAGGTATCCTAGGGGCCTCCCCGCTGGCACAGCGGTTGAGCGCTGGGTTGCGAAGCTGCCCGCAGCCTCTGCAGCGCCAGTTCGATCCCCGGCCACCGGGTGAGGGTCCCACATGGCGCGCAGACCTCTCCTGCCACCCGCTGCTCCCCTCAGCAGTGTACTTCGTCAATCTGCCTGTTCTACTCTCCACTCTGGCTCTGGTAAATTCTTTCACCCTCCCACGCCTCTGACTGTACCCAGTGCCTGTATAAATAAATAAATAAATCTTTAAAAAAAAGGAGGTATCCTATATTGCTTTTAACAAATGGAAATACATGCAATAATGATGCTATGCAATTGGCAAATCGGGGGGAAAGGACTGAATAGTCATTACAACATAAATCATATGCCATGGATGGGCCATGTCAGGGGAAAAAAAGGTAACCTATATAAACAAAATGAAGAAAATATAGGCATACATTTAATGTTTACATTGATAGACTTTCTAACTTAAAGCAGAGGATGAAAAAAGAAAATAAACAGATTTGAATATATACCCCCAAGATGAAAACTTATTTCTGTAACATTTTTGGTATCCAGAGTCAACTGGAAAAAAAAAAAAACAACCTTGGGAAATATTTGCAGCAAACATAAGAAACACAGGGTCAGCACATTTAATATTTACAGTCATAAAGTCAATAAGAAATACATAAAATCTTTGGTAGATAAACTGGCAAAGAATCAGAATATTCACATCTGTGGAAATACAAATTGTATATAACTTATAGAAGTTTGTTTTCATTAGATATCAGAAAACTATAAATGAAAAGATGAAATCATTTAAACTACAAAACTAGTGAGAATTTTTAAAAGATGATGCTCATTTGAGGTGATTTAGTAGAAAAGCTAAGAACACTGGCTCTGCAGGCTCTTGGATCTGATTTAAATGTGGATTCTGTACACAAAAGCTTCACAATTGCTGGCAAGTTACACGACTCTTATATCTGCATTTCTAGGGTAGGGAGGAGTAACAGACCTATTTATTTATTTATTTATTTATTTATTTATTTATTTTTTTAAAGATTTATTTTTATTTATTTATACATGCACTGGGGTACACTCAGAAGCACGGGAGGGTGAGAGAATTCACCAGAGCCAGAGCGGGGAGCAGAGCAGGCAGAAGGACCAAAGTACTCTGCTGAGGGGAGCAGCGGGCGGCAGGAGAGGTCTGCGCTTCATGTGGGACCTTCCTCCGGTGGCTGGGAGCAGCCGGGGATCGAACCGGCACTGCAGAGGCTGCGGGCAACTTCGCAACCCAGCGCTCAACCGCTGAGCCACCGGGGAGGCCCTCCATTTTAGATCTATTGTGCAGATTAAATGAAATATGCATGTGATATGTTAGCAGAGCTCCTGACACATTAACTGCTCATAAATGTTAGAAATTATTAATATGCTGGTATGGATAAAAGGGACATCACAATATATTGCTGACAAAAGTATAAACTCACAAAGCCTTTTGAAAGGCAATTTGGTAACCAGAGCTTTATAACTATTTTTATCCTCTGATCTGGCTATATAACTTCCATTGTCTTTTAAGGAGTTAAACTAAAATATAAGCAAAGGTCACACACAAAGATGTTCATTGCATCACTAGCTAGGATTGTGTAAAACTGGAAAGAACCTAAATGCCCAGCATTGATTAAGTAAAGGATGGGGGTCTCTATCAAGAAATACTGTGCAGGTCCTCTTGGTGGCGCAGGGGGTTAGATGCAATCTATGAAGCTGTCTGTAGCCACTGAAGCTCAAGTTCACTCCCTGGCCAGGGAGCTACCCACATGGTGCAGCAGACCTCTCCTGACTCGCACGCTGCTCCCCTTAACAGTGTATTCCAGTTAGTCTGCCCGTTCTGTTCCCCCACTCTGTCTCTTGTGAATCTTCTCGCTCCCTGCACATCTAGCCTGTACCCCAGTTCTTGTATACATAAATAAATAAATCTTAAAAAAAGAAATACTGTGCAGACACTGTAGAATTAGGCTAGCAGAGGGGGAAAGAAGAGGGTAGATAACAAAGTGGGGAGAAAGCGCAATGGAATATGGTTGAGGACTATGGCTGCTTTGGTGGTGGGTATGATGTGTAACATACCTGAAGGATGTGATCGTATACCTCTAAACCATATTCAGTGTTGCAAACCAATGTTACCTCAATGACAAATGATACAATTAAAAAATGCCTACCATGAACAGCTTTTAATGGTATAAGAAACTACTTATGATATAATGCTAAGTCAGAAAAATAGAATATACAATCTTTATTCTTACATCAAGGATACAATGTATGGAAAAGTCCTTGAAGAAAAGAAAAAAGTACTAAAACACCCATTGTGATTTCCTAGGTCAGCATTAAAATATGGTTTGAGGTTCATTTAAAAGGTCATGAAATTATTTCAAAGGATCTCAACTTAACATTTCTGATAATAAAATAGTATCAGATAAAGAGACTAGTGTACACTAGATTAGAATACACTAGAGTAGAAAAGAAAGACAGTATCAGTGTCTATAAGCTTTAGGGGTAGATATTTTTTCCTTAAATATATACATATTATATCTATGTACTGGATGGTGATTTAAATGTATTTCTCACTATGGGTCACAGATGAAAGTTTAAAAGCTACCAGCCTAACTATAACTGGGCTCAGGAAAAATAAGGTATTTTTCTATATCATGTTTACTTTTATATAACTTCCAAATTTTTCTATTACCAAACATTACTTTGATATTCATTTTGTACATAATTATATACAATTCAAAATTCCCTTTGCCACCAATATAAACCTTAAGCAAAGTAACATTGCATCAAGAATTGAGTGCTGCCTAGGACATATTTTGTGATTTGACCTTAATGTTAATTTTTTAATCTTTGCCCTGTGTGAAAAAGGTGGTTTGTATTCAGCAAATAGGGAGGACAGAAGTAGAGGGCAACAATGTTATGGTATAGGATAACTATTATTAATATAATACTGTCTCCCCTTCTATAGTTTTACATTTAGTTCTTAGGAAAAAATGATCACTAATTATCAATTTTGTATTCTTTGCCTTAGGAGACTGAGGCTGACAGTCCCAAATCTCAAAATGTTAAATAAAGCATTTATATTTGCATTCATTTGCAAAATATAAATTCACTATGGTGGTCTTACATCATTACTAAATAGTGCTAAGGAATCTGATGTGATAATGAAAAATTAGAGAATCTACCTCAAGACTGTGGAAGGTCCTTTTGTTCTTATTTTTTTTTAAGATTTATTTATTTATGATTACAAGAAGTGGAGCACAGGCCAGCGGTGTGGGAGGTGAGAGGATTCACCAGAGACAGAGTGGGGAGCAGAACAAGCAGATAGATGGAAGTACACGGCTGAGGGGAGCAGTGGGCGAGTCAGGAGAGGTCTGCTGTGCCATGTGGGTTGCTCCCTGGCCGGGGATGGAACTCGTGCTGCAGAGGCTGTGGACAGCTCTGCAGCGCTGTGCCCAACCCCTTGCACCACGGGGGAGGCCAAGATCCTTTTGTTCTTATAACAGTTTTATTGTGTAAAAATTCATGTATGGTCCAATTCACCCATTTAAAGCATACATTCTATAGGGTTTAGAATATTCACATAGCTGTGCAACTATCTCCCCCGATCAATTTTAGAACGTTTTCACCACTCCAAAAAGAAACCCCATGCTCTTTAGCTATCGCCTTCTATCTTTCCAACCTCCCTCTTCTCTGGCAACCACTAGTCTACTTTTTACCTTTAAATTTGACTATTCTGGATGTTTCATACAAAAGGACTCATATTATAGGCTCTTGTTCTTAATCCAATAATTTATAAAAGACTCAGGGATTTCACAGAGCTATATAGATTATATTGACTTAGAAAAAACTTACATTTGTTGGCATTCCTAGCCCCCGACCAACCAACAATGGGTGGAAGTTACTATATGTCAGCTCTCTGTGATCTACCCATTTGCTTATTCTTTCAAAGGCACTCCAGCGCAAACCAATCCATATAGTAGTATCCACATCCGGAAGTAAGTATGTAATAAAATCTGTCAGAAAGAAATATTTTCAAAAAAAGCATTTGACTTGTTCAAATTAAAGACATGCTAAAAATATCAATGAATAATACTTGTTTATCTATCAAGATAATCTTTTACCTACCTTGTTCTCTCTGATTCAGCACTGAAGGAAGGGTGCCACCATAGGAGATACAAACTTCACCTGCTTGAGCAAATGTGAGAGACCGGGGTTCAATCTTTAGGAAACACTGCAAACAAAAACCACAAATAAAGCATAAGTTTCCAACATGGGAAAGTTACATCTTTTAGAGGGCTGCTAATTTTTTGGTCTGTGAAATATGGAAATTTACAAAGTAGTACTATAAGAATACTTTCACACTCTTCATTTAAACAACTGTAGAATGTTGTCCAGATTATTTTTTAAATCTCCCACTGACTCAATGTTAAAGGAGCCTACATTATCTCACTTAATTTTCAAAGCAAATGGAGATAGTTATACACTGGAAAATTCAGTAATTTTTTAAAAAGATTTATTTATTTATTTATTTATTTATACAAGCACTGGGTACAGTCAGAAGCGCGGGAGGGTGAGGGAATTCACTAGAGCCAGAGCGGGGAACAGAACAGGTAGACTGACGAAATACACTGCTGAGGGGAGCAGCGAGCAGGGCAGGAGAGGTCTGCGTGCCATGTGGGACCCTCACCGGTGGTCGGGGATCGAACTGGCGCAGCAGAGGCTGCAGGCAGCTTCACAGCCTAGCGCTCAACCGCTGCGCCACCAGGGGAGGCCCGAAAGTTCAGTAATTTTATCCATAAATGAAATAGCCATACAGTGGTATGGTCAGCATTTAGACTTTGTTTCATTTGATTTTGAAGTCTGTACTCTTAATCATCACCTTCTTAAATAAAAAAAAAAACCCTCATTTTTTAAGAAAACATCCCTCTTTCTCTTGGCAGAATATTTTAATTCAAATTTATATCAACTAGGAAAATTAATTTACTTTGCAATATCTTCAAAGGAAAAAAAGAGGGTCTTAACCTTAATAAGTAAAAATATACCCTGAATATTTTAACTTGACCACAGATGTTTTCAGCTGTCAGACACATCTCTTCCTTTTTCTTTCTGACATTCTGATCACATTAGTTTATTTTTTTTTAGTGTTCCCCTAAATTTTAGTGTGGTAAAATATACATAAATTTAGCATCTTAACCATTTTTTAAGTGTACAGTTTAGAGATATTAAATACATTCACAACATTGCACTACCACCACCATCATGGTACTACCATCAATGGTACTACCATTGCACTACCATCACCAACATTGCACTACCATCACTACCATCACTATCCGTCCCTAGAACTCTTCATCTTATAAAACTGAAACTCTATACCTACTAAACAATAATTCTCCACTTCTGCCTCCCCCAGCCATGGCAACCACCATTACATTTTCTACATGTATAATTATGATCTCTGTGACTAATCTAAGTTCCTCATATTGAAATCATATAGACCTTCTTATGACTGATTTATTCACTTAGCATAATGTTTTCAAGGCTCATCCATGTGGTAACATGGATCATATTAATTTAGATTAGTATGTACCACATTGAGTTCCTTGAAACATTTTACAAATTTTTTTTCAGTCTCCTTACAGACTGGAAGGACAAAGAAATAAATGCCATGGGGTAGCTTCTAGAAAAGAATGTAGAGAGAAGACCCTGAACCTGAACGTGGAAGCCTTATATTAAGAATGGCAAAATTGAAAGATAAAAAGAGCCAATTATTGAAAAATGCTTGGAGTTTCTACACTAATCCTAGTCTGATTACCAGCAAACTTCTTTTATGCAAGAGAATAAATGTTTTAAACACAGGGTAGCAATCCCTCTTTAGCAGCCAAATGCATTTCCTAAGAGATACACATACTAAAGAGGCAGATACAAAGTGCAGCAATTTTCCAGACCTACTTACTCATAATCCCCCTTTGGAAGCAAGATTAATGTTTAACATTTTGTTAGCATATTTGTAGTTCCCATAAAGTAGTTAGGAAATGTGGTCTAATTTGATTGGTAGATGTTGCATGGCTGTATTCCTTAAGGGGAAATATGTATGAGCCAGAAATTAAGTGAGTTTACCACATGCTATACACATAGCTCTGACTATTAATGTATTCCTACCTACTGATAGATCAACTTAAGTGTGAGTAGCAACAGGAAAGGAACACAATGCTCTGAAAGATCTGTAGGTATGACTAGGAGAGTTAACTTGGTTTCTGGCAATGTAGAGGATCAGATGCCATACGGAAATGTACAGAAGTAACCTTAGTAAAGTTATCTGATATATTGCCGTTCTGACACAGGCCATACAACCATCATGAAAGCAATCATCATTTGCACATTAGAGCAACTGTCTTTTTACCTTATTCTGAAAAGGAATCCAATTTCCAGAGCATTGTACTTTGGTTGCAGAATCTGGACTGTATTTCTCTAATGAAGATACATTGTATTTTTCACATATGAAGGGCAACTTGGTACTACAGTCAGCTGGTCTATTTAAATCTGAGAAATGAAAAACAGGATTACTATGGTGAGACTTTTCCAATGAGGTCATTATGAAAATCTGTGGTAAAGAAACGAAGTCAATCTATCTCAAGTGGTTAAAATATATTCCCTTTTATTTTGAGTCATTTTTGTCTTCAATTTCATTCATATAAATAGGTTATATCTATAACATTGCTATGAAAACACACACATTTGGAATAATGACCACAGTTCCTAATGGCAACAGAGTTGAATGAAGGTTAATGAGGGGGAAAGGGAGCTAAACTATATTTTGAACTACTGTCTATTTATCTTTGTAAATCTTTCCATGTGCTTATTAATTATGAAAATGGTAAGTTTATTTCTATGCAACCACCTGGGGATAAAAGAAGTAAAAATATTCACAGTGAAAAGCACCGTTATTTGCATTTGGAATTTGAGCAATTGTCATTAGCAATGCATTAGAATAAAATGAAGCTACCAAACATGTAATCAAAAAGAAATCAAGAGTAAGCTATTAATTAAATTTAAAGTTCACATGTTACATAATCAACATTAAAGGATTTGGAATTAACTTTACCAATAAACCAGGACTTGGCAGACATATACATGCATTCCTCTCCAAATGTGATAGGAAAGTGATGCCTATAGTATCGTGAGCTGAAAGAGAATGAGATTTCACAACTCATAGTTACATGCTCCACTCTATTTTCTACTGTAATTTTAATTCTAAATTTAGCATTAGGTCATTTTATACCATTTTTTTCTTAATGCTAACATGCAAAACGATTTGACTACTATAGGCAGTTTATGGGTTAATGTTTAAGACTAATTATAAATAGTAATCCATTTAGTAAAAGGGGATTTAGGACTGCTTCATTTAAATGCTAGCTTTACAAAAAGCATCAGTGATGTTACATACTAGAAAGGATGATGATCTATTATTGGCTGCTCTGTGGTTCTCAACCACCACCTCTGTTCATCACCAGAAATCTGAAAAACAAACCAAATACCCAGTCTTACATGTGCTGAGCTTTCCAAGAGAGTTTTGATTTAAACACTCTTTCATAATAGAACCACTAAAATATCTATACATTTCATTTTTTGGTCTTTATGCAAACCAGGTCCTTTTATCAAAAAAGTAGAAAGAAAACTGTATATTTATAGGTTCTATTCTGCATATAGAAGATATGGTTGCTGTAATTATGAGCATAGTAACTAGACACATAGTGTCCTAATGTAAATTTAAAAAGACAAATTATTTTTTCTCCAAAATGTGATTTTGTAAGGCTATTACTAGAAATAAACTCAAGTTTAATTATAAGCTAACTTTTAGAAAAATATGTGATAAGGAATTAGAATATATTATTTATTGATCCTCATTTTATAAATATACATCTACAATTAATCTTGAATGCTTTAAAAGAGTAAGCAATTATATTTAACTTTTCCAATATGAATCATTGAATTGAAATGTTGTTAGGGCAACTCTTAATTTAGAGTTAACGTTTGTAAATTTTGGGAAGATATTTGAAGTAGAATAAATATAAAAATAAAAGTGTTTAAAAATATAGATTCAAATTACATTTGCTATTTTGGCTTTGATGGCTTTTAGTCCTGAAAGAGATGTTATAGTAGCCAGAAAACTGTGATTGCTAGCACAATATAGGACAGCTTCTTCATAGTTTAAGTGAGGATCAGCAACAAACCAATATTCACTCCCTTCTACTATAACTGGAGGTCCATGGATTCCAGCACGCTCTAAAGAAGAAGAAGAGTATCAGAGTTATGTCTGCACAAACTAAACCACACCCTCAAAGCACGGATTAATGTTCAGAGCTATTTACAAGTAATAATGCATTCGGATTACTGGTTCTCTCTAGCTAAGACAGGGCTGCCTGGAAGCAACCAAGGATTTCTAAGCCAGTGAGTGACTCTGCCACCCCCTGTGCATAGAGATGAGAAGGACAAATCCAGCCACAGCCCCAACCCAAACCAGCCAATCACCTTTCCTGCCTGGATATATTTCATCTTACTTGAGATGTGATAGAGGAAGCTGGCACAAAGGTCCAGTCTTAAAAAATTAAATACATTCTTAAAAAGGTAAAAGCAACTTTGGCTAAATTTTAGTTTTTGTTTTAACTCACCTGGATTGTACCAGTCTGGTGTTTTGAGAGTACGGCCTGTATGAGGAAGAAAGCAAGTAACTTAAGCTTAGTGTCCAATTACAGATCACTGCATACTTTGAGTGGAATATTCAGTGAAATTCAAAAGAGCTTGCTATACTGCTGAGGTTTGTCCATTTCTGGCCAAATATATTTTTTCATGTTATGATTGTTTCAGTTTGAATTTTGTAGGATCTGAACTTGTTTAGTGGCAATCAAAAAGGCAGTCTATTAAGCATTAGTAAAGCATCACTTAGTTTTCTACCCGGTATCCAGTAAGTCATTAGTAAATGGCACTGTATACAACACATAGAAGCACTAGGGTACATGCACCAAGATAATCATTATGGTAGGATTAGGATTGGGATGTATTGGGATTATGTATTATCTTTATGTACTGGGATTTGAATAGTTATTCTGTAAACCTGGATTGGTCAAGTTTATTGGACACTAGGAAAACTTTGGAAATAATGTACAACCATCGAAGATTAAACCTTTTGAGAAGGTGAGGAATCAAACTGGTAGGAAAATAATAGAAATCACCCAGGAGTCCTAGATAGAAACACACATTACAAAGAATTACTGGTTTTGAAGTTGGGTGTGTCCATGTCTGACACAGACAAGGTAACAACATATGCCACTGTGTTACCTTGGACCAGTTGCTCAACTCCTTGACCCTCAACTTTCTACTTTATAAAAATGAGAGTCAGGGCCTCCCTGAAGGCTCTGGGCTTAAGCCTCAGCACTATCATGCTATTGCCACTGCAGCCTGAGTGGCCTGAGTTCCATCTCTAGCCAGATAACTACGCACATGGCACAGCAGACCTCTCCTGTCTCTCCTGCTGCTCTCTTTAGGAGTATATTTCAGTAGATCTGCCTGTTCTGCTCCCCACTCTATCTCTGGTTAATCATCTCATGCCCCACACCTCTGACTTAGACCCCAGTTCTTGCATGCATGAGTAAATAAAATAAATCTTTAAAAAAAATGAGACTCAAGTGCCCAACTCATAAAGAGTGTGACAATTACAGAAGATTGCCCTTAGGAGCACCCTGCACGTTCCGAGGCAACAATCAGTTCCCCCCCAGATACTAGTTGCTTTCTATTCCCTTTTCATACTGGCTTTAGGGCATTCTGGTTTCAAGTTGAAGATTTAATTAATCTTAAAAATCACAGTAAAAGAGCTGTTCTTAATTTTGCTGTCATTTCAGGGCAGGATGCGTAAGAAAACCCTCCTCAGAGGCCTACCTATGTATCCAGCATCTTTGTGTTCTCTCTTTGAACCAGTTCTCTACTTATTAGACAATATCCATAATGTTTCAAATCTGTTAAAAATATAGTTTCTTGTTTGCAAATGATGGAAGTTTAGAGTAGAAAATTTAGGACAGAAGCTCCATAAGACAGAAACTAGAGGTGGGGGTAGACATGATTAAAGACTCATTAAACCTGCTATGGAAGATCTGTAGGCAAAGGCTAGAAGTGGGGATAAGATGAACTGTCTGTCATTACAGAAAACACCAGTCCTTACAGATTGACCCAATCAGAACTTAGAAGTGATTGTTTCAGCAAGAATAAAATTCCATAAAGGAATGAATTCCTCCAAAGAACACTACATAAAGATAACCCTTACTCTGGGAAAATGCAGGTCTTGTCCCAAGACTGCCCACCTGTGTCTGTTCAAATACCTCTTTCCCTTTCTCGTTGTCCTAATAAACCTGCCCTTTTAAAATGCAGCTTTTGCCTATTCATGTCTATCCAAACATCTTTTTCCTTAGTAAATCTGCTGTGTGTCGCTGAGCAGGAAACTCTGCCCGATCCCTTTCTCAGAGGAAAACCAAGGACCTCATTCACTATATCCCCAAATCTGAACTCCATTATAATCTTGTCAAAGACTTCCTATTTGAGTATTGGGGGAAGCTATGTATAATCATTAAATTTCTTTAAATTAGTGAGAAAAGCAGAATGTAAGTTTTTTTTTTTTTACCCAAGAATATAAATTGTATAAAGGGCATAGAGAAATACTATGTTAAAAAGGTTGTGTTTGGGTCATGTTTTTATAGGTATTTTTTTAAAAACATTTTTATGAGTCTTATTTTTGATACTGTTTCTACAATTAAAAAAATAAACATTAAAAATATCCATAATAGATATGGGCTACTTAAAGTTTTAGGTTATCAAAATATCCCTTTTAGACCTTTTAAAGAAGGAATTAATTAAAACCGGTTGGATCAGGTAATAAAAAAGGGAAAAGCCTGAGAAAGGCATGGTGTTTCAAGTGACTGAAGAGAAAATTTTCCTTAAAAAAACAAATACACATTAATACAGATTGATCTAGCTGACTTTGACTGTTCTAATAATCAAGAAAATATAGAAAACACATTGAACTTGGAAACTCAGGACTGCAAAAGGGGAGTTAGTGAAACATTTAATTCTCAGACGAAGCAATAGGTTGATTGCTTCAAATGACTGCAAATAAACTGAGACAAGTTGTTTCTTTAGCTTTTAAATTTGTTTCTGCTTGGGGGCTTCCCTGGTGGTGCAAGGGGTTAGGACACAACCAACCTATGAAGCTGTTCGCAGCCACTGCAACGCAAGTTTCAATCTCTGGCAGGGAGCAAACCACATGGTGCAGCAGACCTCTCCTGACTCGCCCGCTGCTCCCCTCAGCAGTATATTCCAGTCAGTCTTGCTGTTCTGCCCCCCACTCTGTCTCTGGTGAATCCTCTCATCCCCCCACACTTCTGGCCTGTACCCTAGCTCTTGTGTGCATAAATAAATAAATCTTTAAAAAAAATAAATTTCTTTCTGCATGAGGAGAAGGTGAGCATAATTATTTCAAAGATTTGTTTATTTGGTTTATTGATACTTGCTAAGTTAGTTAATTTTCTTCTATTTAAAATTTAAAAATATATATAAGGAAGAAAACCACAAAACCACATGCTCTTTGTAATACTTCCTGTGGTTACTGGTTTGTCATTTCTAAGGTTGACTTGGGCCCAACTCACCACTCAAACAGGGGTGGAGGCAGATAGCACTACCATAGTAGGCATATACTGTGGGAAGCAATGACACTATGGCATCGAGCAGCCAAAGAGTAATCGGAGTGTCACCATTCATACTTCCAACCAGAGACATTGTCCGAATTATTATATATTAGCAGTTTTGGAGTTCATTGAAAAATTCTTTCTAAATTTCACAGTGATGGACAAATTTTGATTTCTTGACTCTTGCCACATTTTTTCTCCAATTAATCTTCATTTTGTTTTTCACTTCCCATGAAAATTAAAACTGAAATGATTTCTTTTGCTATATCTCTCATTTTAACTGAAATAACCTTCCTTTCCAAGATTTAACCTCCCTAAGTTAGCCTTAAATTTTATCTACTATGTAAATTCTTTCATAAAAGAGGAAGGCACCAACAAATTCTAACAGGTAAGTCTTCTACTGGGGCAAGGAGTCAGGCAGGATGGAACTTAATACAGTTACTGCATCTTCATAGACTTTTAAAATTATAGACTACAATGCTCTATTAGGTATTTTTGTCTCAGTATTCATGATGCTCACACAAGAAATCTGTGAAAGGAATAATTACCGCTTACCTTTTGGAATCTGGCACACCCATTCAAGTTTTATATCACAAGCAAAAGGCCTTACATAAATATATTCTCTGTCATCATAGTAATACCACCTTCTTCGCCATGGCCTCTGAATGGCCTAAAGAAGGAAGAGGATTGCATAATATTTTGAAGGAGATGTAGCACTTATAAAACATCAAACTGTAAATTCTATAGTGCGATATCTATTTTAGCTATACTACCTAAAATATTTGTTTAATGAATGAACATATGAACAAATGTAGTATTCAAACAGTAAGAGCTTTCAAAGGGGCAGATAAAGGATATATATAAGATCATGTTTATGTCCATGTTTATGTTATGCCCAAAATGCAAATTAATGTTTTTTTTCTGTTTTTGTTGATATAAAATTATAGAGTCTTGCACCTTTAAATGTGGGATGAAACAAACTAGAAATGAACAGGTAGTTCAGTTGTTTCCAAACATCAGGCAATCATTAAAGCAGATCTGTGAAAAAGAGACATGGAAGTCTGGCATAACGGGCCCAGGTTCCTTCTTTGCTGTTGCTCTGCATTGCTAGGATGTTTCCCTCTTCTCTATGGTCCAAGGTGACTCCTTACAAATTCCAGTTAGCAAGTAGGGGAGAAATGAAAAGGGCGCACATGACCCGTGAGGCACAACTATCACCTTTTGGACCGTTTTTTTTGTCAAGGCCGAATTCCTGGTGGGTATTGTGGCAGGTGAGGTAGAATTCTTCTTCCAGAACACTGCCCTGGCTGGCCTCATTCCTGATGTAGGCTGTTATCGGTCTTTCTATTATTCTATTTTGTGGTAGATTTTCAAATCTCTTTATGCATGGGATTCTATTTACATAGAAGATAGTTTATTATATAACTGTTCTGGAAAGTTCACAAGCTCCTCTGAAGTTTTCACCTTTTCATATGTTAAATTGGGAATTGTATGAAAATGCATGAGATGATGTAGTCAATTATTAGAACAGTTATTTCTCAGTTCTTTTTAAAATATTTTATTTTATATAATTCTTACATCATTTTTCATTTTTGCACAATGTATGCATTTTCATTTTGGTTAAATTCCCTGTACAATACCTACCTCCCTTATTTTGGCCCTAATCCCTCCTCTCCTTCCCCTTCCCCACAACCTGTTAGTGTGTCTCTGGCTTATGGTTGCTTGTTGATTTTCATTTTTACTTTATTGTAATTAGTCTTTTTCCTGGTCCCTTATTTAGGTTTCCGAAATTCTCAGTTCTTTGTATCAACCTTCCCTGAAGCATTTCTGGTCACTCACCATCTTGAATCTCTTTCTTGGGTTTCCATAGTGAAGATATTATCTAGCTAGCATCTCCTTCCTCATTTTCTTACATTTGATGTGTTAATGTCCCCAAATCCACTTCTTGGCCCTTTTTTTCTTTAATATACATTTTCCCTTGAATTCCAGCCTAACTTTCTACTTACTACTGGATAGTTCTTACAACTAATGTGGATTCAAAATATCTACATTAAAATGTATTATTTTCTTCATATACCAGTACCTCTTTTGACTGCTTCTGTAAATGCCTAGTCAAATAATACAGTGGACCCAGACACATCTGGATTTAAATATCAGTTCTGTAAAAATGTAAGTTACTCAGAGCTCCAATTTCTCCCTCATAAGATGAATATAGTAACAGTAACTACTGTACTAGGTTGCTTAAGTGCAATAATATAAGTGACAAGCCGAGTAATGTGCCCACCTGAGGACAGTTCAGCTATCACCACTGATACCACCACCACCAGCACCTTCATTACTACTCTTTCATAACACGCTTGTTGTTGCATAAACTCATTCTTTGCTTGTCCCCACCCTTGTAAGTATTTGTTTACTTGTCATTATCTCCTACTAGACAGTAAGTTCTGTGAAGCCAATTCCTGTTACTATAGTTTCCCCTAGTGTGTTAGAGACTGTTTGAACGTATTGCTATGGACTAAATAAATAAACAAATTCTGCAAAGAAGATAGTTGGTCTTCTGAATCTATCTGCTGTGTTTTGAAATCTGTCTTAATGTCACTCTTGTTCATACCCTTCTTGTTGCATGTCAAAAACTTTTAATAATGTACTGCTGCCTACCAAAAAATGTGCAAACTCCCTAATCTGGTATCAACATAATATCCTCACTCTGTTTTCAACAGTGCAAATTAAAAATTCTTGATCTGTATTCTGTTCTCATCTCTTTAACCTCTCCCTTCTACTTCCACTTTATTTTATGCCACCTCCTCATATCATTCCCCCATTAGAAAACCTAACATGAGGTTGTATCCTACTTGTATCAACTCTATCCATTCACCCAATTCACATTTTACCTTTTCCTGGAAAGAAGCCATACAACTTATTTCCTCTTCTGAGTTTCACTAGCCTTCCTCAACCCACTCATTTGGAGTTTATGACTGTTATTACTGCTCAGTAATGAGAACCTTCTTTCTTAAATATGAGTTTTATCTTCTCAAATTAAGTGGAAGTTAGGTTGCTTGAGGGCCAGGTCATAGGTGTACTTCTTCCCTCCTACTGTACTTAATATCATGTTCCACATACAAAAGGGCCTTAATGGATCTGTTTCCTGAATGTACGTGATGCCAGATTTATTTTTTTTTAATGCAGATTTTTCCAGCATTGTACTGACCTTGACAGCACCACAGTCTCTGATATCATAATCCTGCAGAAACTCATTTGGCACAATAGTAGTCACCTAAAAGACAAGAGAGCCCTGAGAATTTAAGACTGATGTATAAATATTTGCAATTTAGATGTAATTTAGGCAGCTTTCATAATTCAAGTATGCTATATGCCACAAAAGGAAAACTTTTTCACATCTTTCTTTTTTTCAATATCGGGATGATAAATCATGAGAGGACTTAGAAAATGCCATAATGTCATGAGTTTCCCAAAAAAGGAAACTATAGTTTCCGTGTTACATTTGCAGCTTGGGTTAAATTATTTTGAATTATTTGAAAATAATTTGCTAAAACTTCTTTTTAGTTTAATGCAAATACTTGAAATAATATTTAAGGACTTTAAAGATTCCATCAAAATAAATTATTTTACTCAATAATGATTCTTTCCTTTTTATACATCTAATATTTTAGATAATAAAAATAAAAGCTTCTTATTGTGAAAGAAAAGAAAAAACAGTACAAAGGAAAAAATGACTGTAATACTCGAGATAATATCTATAGTAATTTTTTACTATATAGAAAGAGCTAATCTATTTTTTAAAATAAAAATGAATTAAGCAACTTGTTTTTTCCCCTACTTCATATATGTGAGTCTATTTCCATATCAGTAAAGATAGAGCTAAACAATTTTTATAGTCATGAGGTATATGGCTCTATCACTTCACAATCAACTTGTTTTTGAAGCACATATCGCTCTACCTTACTCTAAACAAGAAAGTTTAAACTTATTGGTGGGGCTTCCCTGGTAGCACAAGGGGTTAGGACGCAGCACTATGAAGCTATCAGCAGCCACTGCAGCACAAGTTCAACCCCCAGCCAGGGAGCTAATCCACATGGTGCAGCAGACCTCTCCTGTCTCCCCCGATGCTCCACTTTGCAGTGTTTTTCAGTAGATCTGCCTGTTCTGTTCCTCACTCTGTCTCTGGTGAATCTTCTCACCCCCTGCACCTCTGGCCTATACCCCAGCTCTTGTATGCATAAATAAATCTTTTAAAAAAATTTAAAAAAAAAACCAACTTACTGGTGAACGATCACTCCATTGCCAGGATCCTTGTAAATCCGGGCTTCTTTTATTTAAACCTATCCAGAACCAACGCTGGCCACTGTGTAAAATGAAGTGTTAAAACAAAATTTAAGCATAGCATTTGGCAAAAATATTAAGCTTTTATGTCTGAAGTGCTTCTGTGTTTATTCAAAAGACCTCATCACTAATTAAAAGCACAGTTTCAAGCTATAATAAAGTTTTGTGAAATGAAATTAAACCATAAATATGGTGTAGTTATCATAATAGTACCATATGTTTCAAAACTAATTTTTCATATGAAAGGCAGAAACTATTCCACTTTGAACTTAAGAGGAAGAAAATGTATGATCATTTCAAAATTTTTACTACAGAACTTCAATATTAGACAATGTTTTCAAATACAGTTAAATACAACAATGGCATTTACTTAAAACATTTTTACATAATACAATCAAATATCTTCTCTTTAAAATGTACAACAAACTATTTGGCTAAATTTTTACTAAACAAATTAAGAAAAACTCATTCATACTCCCTACCGAAGTTTAAACAAATAATTAAATATTTTTAAATGCCAAATTCCATGGGCTATACCAGAGCAACATAATTAAGCATTTAATTATACTCATATTATAATAGCCATATTATAATAATGTATTATTATTTAATATTTATACTATAATAGTAGTATACAGGTATTGAGCTAGGTGCAATGGTGCCACAGAGAAGTGTGGTACCTCCAAGGCCCAATACCTACCCTTAGATGGCACATAAGCTAGTCAAGGAGACAAGAAATATATAAATAAAGAAAATAGAGGGCCATCTTCAAAAGACATTAGATGATATACAATTTGTATATATTTTAAGTGCTATGAAAGTTCAGAAAAAGGAAAGGTCACTGTGGAGTACAGAAAAAAACAGGAAATATTTTGTGATATTGGAAGGACAAAAAGAATTTTCAAAGAATAGTTAATGTGTCTTTGGAGCCATAATCTGACTGTTTACCACATGCCAGCACTCAGATTGGCTAAGAGGAGAAAGAATATGCACTCCAGGGAAAAATATACACCATAACATTTAGAAGCAGGGGCATACATTATAAGTGATTTCTTCCCTTCAATTAAATTTATGCTTTAGCCAGGAAGATATTTACAGTATAAAAAGAAGTAATATAACCATTAAAAAAAGTGTTCTAAGCTCTAACCCCACTTGTAAATATTGTCTTAAATGCATTACAATTTTAAGTGTCTATAGACCACTTTCCCTATAATGCAAACTTTTAACAGCATATGGTATATATGATGAGTATATGGGAGTGCAAATTATATTTGCATATATATTTACATATATAAATGTTATATGCTTATGACTATAACACATATTAGAGAAGGGATAGGATCCAAATCTAAAAATAATTCCTACTCCCAAGTTCAGTAGAATATAGGGGATATAGGCATATATAGCTACAAGACAACTGGGAAACAAGTCATCTGTATTAAAAAACACTTGCTAGCAGCTCTTGTCCCAGAACAGCCTGCCTATGTCTATGCAGTCATTTTTTTTAAAGCAAATTTGCCCCTTTCAAAAGCAGCAGCTCTCTGTCCATGTGTGTTTAAGCAGCTGCTTCATCTTCCTTCTCTTTTCCTTGATAAACCAGCCCTTTAAAAGTAAAAAAAAAAAAAAAAAAAACCACCTAAAAAACCGCCACATTTGCTAGTGAATCAAAGATCAGAGCAAATTTAAGTTAATTTCTCAATTTTAAATAAAACAATTATTTTTTCTTTACCTCTTTCTTCTGTTCAACATCCCCTCATGTTTTAATATCAATAAGTACTTTTTCACCCTTGATCTTTTCAACTTACTGTAACAGAATATGAGGACTGTACGAAAGTTTTTATTCTTTTGCTGTTTTCTTTCATAGAGAAAGATCACCCATTTGTATAAACTTAAATCAAGTGGAAACAATTAAATCCAGTTTGAATTTAGCAGTTACAACAGGAAACTGCATTTGTGTTCTCAACTAATCAGAAGTTTTTTATAAGCTTCAGATATATCATACTTCCCAAATGCTGCATTTCTAAACCATAGGATCTAGATAATTGTTATATACAGCATAATTAAAAAGTCAGTTGGCTAAAATAATGAGGAGGTTAAGTTTGCTTCCTCACACTAAATTGGGAATATAACTTCATTTTTTCCAACTCTTTTCACATTATGTATTTTGTATAGAAATCCATGTTTCTGGGGAATCTGTATAGAAATCCATGCTTCTTTAAATAAACATTAGGCATTTTATCTTCATATAGTCAACAGTAAAACCAGGCAGATCACCAAAGATTAGTTGCCACTTGCATTTACTGTATAGTCAGTATAAAAAGAAGTGATATAAACAAAGAGAAAGAAAGTCTCTATAGAGAACTGTCCCCAACCTTCCCACCCACTCCTCTCTTAGCCTCACGTTTTCCCACTTAAAAATTTCTTTCAAATGCATTTCTGTCTCCTCTGCTGCCTCTCAGGGAATAGTTTCCCAGAAAGCAGTTTGCCCACTGTCCAAAATTTCTAACCTTCACTCCTTTCTGAGGTTAAACTTCATTTCAACCTATATACTTAAAGTTTCCACCTTAAATTTATGTGTTATATAGAAAATAGTAGCTACTTGTGTTTTTGTGTATAGTAGGATATAGAAAATATTTCCTCAGTTGTAACAGTCCAGGTTTGACTTGACTTATTTGTAGGCAAAAAAAAAAAAAAAAAGAAAAAGAAAGAAATCAGAAGTCATAATAACTTATCTATACTTCTAATGTGAATTTCAGGAAAAATGATGGAAAAATTTGATCATAACTGGGGAATCAAATCAAACTGAAATTCTCTTTTTATAAATTTCTTCTACTTCAAGCACTAAGAATATAATTTTAAGGCTATTAGGTTAAGAAGACATTACACGAAAGGTTAATGTGTGTATTTGTGTTAAAATTCCTACTCAATCAAATTTCCAGCTGCATCTGCTATCTGAGGAAAACAGTATCTCTGCCATAACCCCCAATAAACACTATTTGATGAAGGTGCTTAGCCTGTAAAGCCTTAGATTTATATCTAAATCCATCACGCCTCATCACAGGAGGTAGTGCACACAGCAGTAGTGGCATCTCAAACAAGGCTTTCCTCTCTAATCCCATGGCTGCTTTTGCTCCACAATAGCTTCTCTTGGTGGGCTGCCATTAAGAGTCACAAAGATCTTAGAGTCTTAATGACTTGGTGCACCATGAATCCTTTTCATTGAAATACAAATAGAGATGGGGAATTTAGATTAGGAAAAGTATAGAACTAATCTGACTTAACTCCTTGGCATGCAATACACAATTTGGGCAATGGACATCTTGCTGAGAAAGGTCAATTCCTGCAATGAAAAGCTAGGTGTCCATGGAAAAAGATTTATAATCATTTTCTGCTATAAATGAATTTGCTTCCTTCCTTCCTTCTCTTCAAGCTATGGTATAGTATTTGTTTCAAAATATGTTCTCTTGCTAAGGATAGTGTGGACAAACAATCTCTTTACTAGTGGAGCACATATTATGCAGACAACACAGTCTGCCTAATATGGCCTTGTGTTAGCCACTCAGATAGTGTACAAATAAAGTATGGTCCCTATGAGTAAAAGGATTACGGTGATTTATATTTTTCTTTGTGATTTTGTTTTTTAAGTTCAGTATATGTTACTTTTGTGATTAGAAAAAAAATTAAAGTACTATATATTCTGTGGAAAAAATGTCTGAGAATGTAAAAAATAGAAAAGATTTTCACTAAATGCTAAATGTGTTTATAACTGGGAAATTGGATTAGTGGTAATATCAAATTTAGCATAGAAGATTACATTCTAAAAATATTACCTGAACTGGTCCATTAGAAAGTGAAAAAATTCCTTCATTTCATCCACGTGACTGAAGCTAGGGAGGTGTGCTCCAAGGGCTTGGCAGAATCTCTCAGCTTCTTCCCAATTCCTCTTTCTAACAATTCTTTCTGCATGAAATACCTTAAAAAATGTAATAAACATTCATTTCCTAGTTCATAATTGTGAAGTGTTCATAATTGTGAGGTCAACTAAGTGTCAAATGTGTGGGTTCCTGAAATGGATTGTTATAGGTATACGAAGACATAGGTAAATGCACATATATCATGACACAGATAGGTCTTGCCGAAAAGGTCAACCAAATGCCAGCACAGGTGCTAGCTACTATTGTCAGAATGGATGGCTCTCCTCAGCCAGGCTGGGAAACTGTTCAAAAAATTACCATGTCCTCTTATGTCCCTAGGACCTTGAAATATAAAATGATTCAGCAGGGATGGCTGTAAAGGATACAGGAATGTTCGGGGAGTAGACTATGAAGAAATACGCTAACAATGCAGTTTTGAAAATAATACAATTAGATGTATGTAAGTACAGGACTATATTCTGATGAGGAAGAACCAAAGAACAGACTGTTTTGGTGTGTGAATACTGACAGAAGGTGGCAAAGCTGACTGATGTAGACCTTATGTTGTTAGAAGTGATGGAACTCTTCCTTTGACAACAAGAATTAGTGGGTTGTGAGAATCATCAGCCAAGTGTCAGTGTGGCATGCCACTCACCCCAATTCCTAGAACAAAAGAACCCTAAGAAAGAGCCACTTCTGCCTCTGGACCTGCTCTTTGGGATTAGGACATGAGTGGTGGGTGGGAAGGAACTGTCTGACATCAGAGCATCAATGCTATTCTGACAGAGGCTCTGTGCTCCCAAACACTTAGGTAGGTCAAATATATGTCTGGCGAGCAAGCTAATTTGTACCAGGACAAGGACAAGAATGGCAAAAAGAGAACTTCATTGAGGCATTGAACAAGAATTTTACTTTACCTTATAACAAGAAAGACTTGAGGGGAAACTATGCCAGCCCTCAGGACAGGGGTCTTCAGGCTTGGGGGCTGTCTCCTCAGGTTCAGCAGGTCCACTTATTTTCTTACAAATTGAAAGTGCTCTGAAGGTTCTGCAGTCTTTTACCTCCCACTTTCCAAGAGACTTTTCAGAAGACATAGCCACACACCCGCCAGGAGAAGCTAGGATTAAATTGGACACACTGATGAATTTTTTTTTTTAATTTATGTGTAGAGGAAATGGGGTGAAGACCAGAGGTGTGGGGGTGGGGATGTGTGAGAGGATTCACCAGAGATAGTGGGGAGCAGAACAAGCAGATCTACTGAAGTATACTGCTGAAGGGAGTGGATGAGACAGGAGAGGTCTGCTGTGCCACGTGGGTCATCTCCCTGGCTGGGCATCGAACTCAGGCCGTAATGGTGTTAGTGTGGAGACTTAAACCCTGGGCCACCAGGGAAGCCCTTGATTAAAATTTAAAACTAAAGTCCAAGATTTTCTAGCACCACTACCCCTTATTTGAGCCGACATGTGGAGGAAAAATAGGAAAGGAAAAGGAGGAGAGAAATGTGTTGATGATAATAATAATATAGAGAAGTATTTTACTATTTGTCAGGTGCTATTCTAAGAGGATTAAATGAATTGATCCTTACAAACAAGCCAAAAGGGTTCTATTATCATAGATATAATAAGGATTAATGACTTAGCCAAGGTCACGTATTAATAAATGATTAACTTGGGACCAGAATCCAGGCAGTCTACTTCCAGAGTTGTAGCTTAAACCATTAGGCTGCCAGGGTAGCCTGACAGGCTCATATTAACAACTTTGAAGAGTTTTCAAGCAATGTAGTAAACCTGAAAACAAACTATTTCAGATTCATTTCAAAGGAAGTGCTGGTGCAATAAAGCTAGACGAAGGTATGTAGTAACATATTTGTTTACTATTTACTTTACGCCAGCCAGAATTTTATTTACTCACAACAACAATAAAAGATAGTTTGTATTATGAGCTCTATTTTCTAGATGAGGAATAAGTGACTTGCCCACAATAATAGTTAGTGGCAAACTCATTCATATTTAAGCAATAGGTACAGGCCTTTAAAATGTTGAGATCAGTCAAGTTTTCTTCATTATCTCCTTTCCCACAAATTCTTTGCTCACTTTATTTAGTGTCAGTTCTGCATCATCTTTTGGAACAGTTTCTTTTAATTCTTCTATGGGCATGTTGACTTGATTACTGATTTATTGCGGAGGGTACTAACGTATACAAATCAACAGCCAGATGGCAGAGATCTATGGGGCACAGTATGGGGGGAAAAGGCACAGAGCTTCCATGCCCTCTCCAGGTGCATCGTTCTTCAAATCATTAGCCAGGAAGCTCTGAGTGTGGTTTCAGAGAAATGAATTTTATAGCTTCTTATGTTGGGTTATTACTAAGGATTTTTAATAGGAAAGGCATAGTTATTGTTTCTATTTACGGTCCCAGTGACTTTAGACTTGAAGATCATCAATGACATCACATTTCAAAGGTAAGAAAAGGACATATTTGGGAGGGATGGTGCATTTCACAAATCACTGACTTCTATACTTCGAAGATGAAGGCATTTACCTGGCTCAAGAAATTTCCAGTTGGAGAAGGTAACAGCTCGATTCATTCCCTTAAAATTTGACCAACTGTACTCTCCACGTGAATCTGTATCTCGCAGGCCAGTCCAGAAGTACTTTCTTAGAGATTTAGTATACTTTTTAATCATATCATTTATGTATTCTTGCTCAAATCTACAAAACAAGAGTCAAATTAGCAAGTTTTTTTTTTTTTGTTTACAATGATTGGATTACTGTGTCAAATGAAGATGCACTGTTTTCCTTAGTAAGATTATTTGGCAAAAGAACCTGTAGTTAAAAGTTCACAAGTAGATACATACCTGCTAGTTATAGTTAGATTGCACTTGGTTCCAAAAGGGACCTCATCCTCATAAATCTTGTAACAGGTTTCTCCATGCCTCTTCCAGCCCTAAGTTAGAGGAGAAATATTGTCACACTATCTTCCAGACAAGCAAGGTTCTGCTATATTGATAATATCTTACAACTTGTGGAAATTAAGGATATAATCTGTGAAGTCAAACATGTGATGAGGGTGGGATACAATTTCACAGATATTCTCCATAAGACTGTGAGTCTGTCAGACAGGTGTGTCTAAATTCTTTTTGCCCTTAGTGCCTATTTCATCTCAAGAGTACAGCAGATTTTGGTTGAATCATTTTTGAATAGGAATAAGTGGGAGAAGTAAAGATATCAGCATTAAGGTTAGTGATCCTATACTTTTGGTAGAAAATTCATTTTTTCTTCCATAAAGACACCAGTATGGTATGATTCACTGACCTCTGACATGTTTTAACATAAACAAGCAGAGCTAGCAATATCCTGTATTTTCCAAGTCAAAATTTCTTCAGTTCAGGCCTGAATTATTCAACTACCATCCCTAACCAAGAAGATACTATATTGCTTAGAAAAATTAATGCAAGGATTTTAAATACCTCATTTGTTTTTTTATTTTAGTTTACCTTATTGGCATAACTTGGCTTACAATGTTGTTTGTGTTTTAGAAGTACAGGATCTCCCCTTTCAGGTGTTGTTACCATACTGTTCCTGCCACCTATACACCCACAGTCTACAGCTGTTACAGGACAACCCTGCTCTAAAACGGGTTACCTGACTATGGGTCCTCACCCACACACTTAAAGGGGACTTAAACTGCAGGCACACACAAAAGGTTAACAAAAGTTTTATTTATAAGGGAAAGGGAAATGAGGAAATGAACAACTCAGGAAGAAAAAGAGGGAGATAAATTCTTAAATGCATCCTACCCATTCTGCCAACCTGGAATCCCAAATGACCCAACGAGACCAAACCTGCCTGGCCAAGAGCATGAGCCAAGAGAGCAACACCCCACTAACATGGCTGGTTATAAACACAAACGAGAGAAAATGGCTGCTTAACTCCACCCTTAGGTCCTCACAACCTCCCTTTGGGGATCATGGGATTTGTAGTTCCTAATGTCTTGATGTAGTGGGGGTGGCATCCACAAAGCCTGTATGGAGTTTGCACAGGACATCCTTTCCCCCTAACACCACCATAGTCTATTATGCTCCCTCCCCACTTTTTTTCTTGCCCCTCTTATTTCCCTTCCCCCCTCCCTCCCCCGGTAGCCTCAGCACACAAGGTCAGTTTTCCAGGGTTCCTTGCTAGCTTGGCTTTATCTGACCCTTTATTGGCTTTTCTATATTCCCCATAAAAGTGACACATACATGTCACTAGTACATACCATATTTGAAGGACACGTCTTTTCTGATTTTGTATCATTCACTTTTTCTCCCTCTTTTTTACATACATATTTAAGTTTCTCTTCACAGGATTGGACTTTCCACTGGCCCAGCTTTCAAAAAACAGGAGAAAATTTTCCAATAAGAATTTATTTGTTATATATTTATTTTATTTATTTTTAAATTAATTAATTAATTTTTATTTATTTATATAAGCACTGGGTACAGTCAGAAGCGCGGGAGGGTGAGAGAATTCACCAGAGCCAGAGCGGGGAGCAGAACAGGCAGAAGGACCAAAGTACACTGCTGAGGGGAGCAGTGGGCAGCAGGAGAGGTCTGCGCGCCATGTGGGACCTTCCTCTGGTGGCCAGGGAGCAGCCGGGGATTGAACCGGCGATGCAGAGGCTGCGGGCAGCTTCGCAACCCAGCGCTCAACAGCTGTGCCACAGGGGAGGCCCTTGCTGTATATTTAGAATTGAACTCTAACTTATTTTAAGTCAACACAGTTTCTTCTCACAAAACTATGAGGGAAGGAGATGGAGAGAAGGAGAGAGGGGAAGGAAGAGATTCAATACAAATGAATGATTAAATCTTAGAATACACTTCTAGAAAATGCTACACAATAGGCCTGCAAGGCTGTAGCTCACAGCCCATTACTTCAGCAGCACCTCAAGGTAACAGGGCAGATGAATTCCATTTTCTTATAAGAAAAACTATAAAGTATCAAAAGACAGTACAGAAGTTGAAGAGAGAACTCAACCCCATAAAGAGCTGCCAATGTTCTAGTCATTTTTTCATAGGAGAAAGGTTTTTATCCACAGGTTAAAAACTTCTGAGCACATCAACTAACCTCCCTGCCTCAGCTTCCTTATATGTAAAAGGACCATGGTAATTACAATAGCTACTCTCTGTTATAGAATCAAAAGTTTCCTCCAATTGTAGTCTCAACTTCAAAGTTCTTATTTTCAAGTATGCGACTTAACATTTGTTTTGCTTAATTGCCCAAGTCACTCTTCTAACTAAATAGTCATATGTCAGCTGTGATCCAGGTCAGTTTTGTACTTTGGAATGCTCTTTTGTATGCCATCAGTTCAGTCTTGCCTATGGGACCTCATTTCAACCTTTGATACTCTTCTAAAGACAAAGTGGCTCTTCCTTTAAATAGAGACATGACATCCTTCTAAATTGATTTTTGACACCTTTCTAAATACATCTTTACTACTCAACCATTTCTAATGCTCATACTATTTATGATTTAAACCTCTCTTGAAGGTTGGGTGACACAATCAGTCACCTAAACAATTAGGAGTCCAAAGGAGAATGATTTAGTATACACAAAATCATGCATAGGTTCTTTCGGCTCAAGATTCTATCTTTTTCGATTTTTTAACTAAATCATGTTTAATAGACTTCAAAGCATTCTACAGGAGTAATAGAATCTCTGAAAAAGTTTGGTCTAATTTTTTGATATGAATTTTTTTTCATTACTCAAAGCAGGGTTAATATAAAGCTTAACCTGAACATGAGTTCAGAAGATGGGATTTTTTTGTTTGTTTTGTGTTTTGGGGATTTTTTTTTTCAAGTAAAATTGTAGCTATATGTTAAATATCACACTGATGGTCCCAAGAAAAAGCAGTTTATTAGAATCTATTTGGCAGGAGAATTTGAGCTCTAAAGGGATTTTCTTGATCTGTTTTGAACAGAGTTGACACACTCAGACAGGAAATGGATTGCTTATTTAGTAATTGTTTACCTTTCTCCTCAGTAGTTATCTGATTATCTTTTATTTTCTTTCCTTTACCTTAAACACAAATATCCCAACCAGAGTAACAGCAATATTATTATTAGATATAACAATAAGACGTAAACCACAGTTTTCCTACCTGTCCAAAATAGGAAACACAGTTGGGAGTCTTATTATAGGGAACATTTGGCTCATCTTCATTCCAATATGTTAGAGTAACTTCAGTACCATCTGACCATTGAAATAAAGCTGGTGTATTTATGTTCTTCAGGCCTGTCCATATTTCTTCCTTGGCATCTAAAAGAAAAATGTTTCATTGTTTGGTTTTACTTAAGTACTCCAATATATATATTGTTACTGATTTTGACATTCTGAGATGAAGTTTTAAGAGCCCTGATTTTTTTAATTAATCTATTAAAATGTTGGTATGTTAGGCACACTCTATGGTGAGGGTTATTCAGGCCACCTAGGCAGGCAGAGTAGACAGCACAGTTGTACTATGATCTGAAGACTGGAATTCCTGTTATTGGACTTAGATAAACCCTGATTTGTAGAAACAATAAACTTCTACAAATACAGTCATAGATAGCCCAGCTAGAACAAGAATATTGTCCTTCACAGCCTGAATTACTGTGTTGTTTCTTCAAGTAAAACAGCACCATGCTGGCCCAGAATAGGTATCTTTCATTAGCTCTTATTTTTAGTGAATCCTAGGAGTTTATAACACTGGCCATGGAGTCTTTATTTTTTAGCTTGCAAATAATTACAAAGTAAAACAATCATTATTTAAGTTTCTGGAAGAAATCAAGAGAAGAGGGAAATTATTCAATCAATGGGTGTATTATTGAATTAGATAAATTTTCAAATTAATCAGATAAAGGTAAAATTTTGGTTTCTCAGTTGTCAAAGTGACAACTAAGTCCATTTCAAATGCTCAAAAGTCACAAGTGGTCAGTTGTTATTGTATTGGACAGCACAGATCACAGAACAGTTCTATCACCTTAGAAAATTCTACTGGACAGTGCTATATAGAGGATCACATTACAAGCTTTTCATTCCTGCTAAGAGTCTGAAAATAGGAGTACTTTAAAATATTTCAAACCTCTCAAATAGGATATTTTAGAAACTTACCCCCGCTATGGAGTTTTGTGACAACCACCTCCACATCTGCTAAAGAATGAATGCTGATGAGGTCACTGCTGGAGTTTTTGCATTTCATGTGTGCCTTATCCCAGGAATCACTTTCATTTGCCAGCAGATAGCAAAATCCATTATTTGGCAGCCAGCCTGCTTCACACTGGGTGTCTGAATAAGTCCAAATATCTGTGGGAAAAGCAGTTATTTATATTCCAGTTTAAAAAAAGATACATTATTTTGAATCAATAACATTGTACATTCTTTTTTCCTGAATTACAAGGCTTCTAGCAAACTGGGGAATGTCATATCAGATAGTACAGTGACACGAATTTATGTGGTGTCTAATGTATACACAGCACATAAAAGTGACTGCAGGGAATCAGATAAAGATCTGACTGAAATGGGGTATAAATGTGCTATCCATGGCTGGACTCAGACTATTTAAGAAGGGATTGCCCTTAGCCCCAGTAGACAAAAGAATGGGGTAGGGAAGCCAGGGCTGACAAATCTTTTCCTGAGTTGGAGATTTGTTGGGCACCTCTCCTGTCTGTCTTTGAGAGGTTATGATGAGGCGGCTCCTCCTTTCATACACAGTAAATTTAGCAAGGTGACATGCATTAATGCTCACTGTTGAACAAAGGACAGAAAGAGATTCACGGAGCAGCATTTATACACACTGTACCGAAGGGATGGCAGCAGCAGAGGGAAGGGGCAAAAGGCTCTCCTTTCCTCCCCTTAACTAGATATAGAGTCTTCATGGAATTAGTGATTCTTTGCTTTGACCATCCTAAGACGATCAAATGGTGGTCAAGAACTATTACAGAAAAGCAATGATGTTTAAAACCACATACAATGTTTTTACCCTGCTTAACAAAACTAGAAAGTAGTTTTTAGACTTCACCGGTTTGTAACTGTTTGAAATGTTTGTTGTATGAAAACAATAATAATGTAGACAGTTCGCTTTTTTTATTAAAGGATATGATCCAGGTTTAACTAGCTTCTCACACTTGCAAGATAATTAACTTAAATGTTCTGAAACAGCAGTTGCTATTGCATTTTACAATTATGACACAGGAACAGAAGAAAAATCATTTATAATTGAACTTAAAACCATCATTTTCCTATTCTAGTCTTTGTCCCTATGAATACATATTTTTTACAAGATTAAAATAAGTGGGCATATAATTTTATTCTTTGTATTTTCCTGCTAGCACAGTTATTTTAATAAATGCCTACCATTCAATCATGTAGGAACATTATGGCTTACTTAATAATTGCTACTAGAGGATATTTATTTGATCTATCATCAGTCACCCTGGTTTTTATTTCATTTGTGCTGTCTTTTCTATTATGGCTTTACTTATATGGACCAAATGTGATTTGAATCAACTTGGAAGATGAATATTCATTTTGTCCTATTATTTTAAAACATCCCTCTACATTATCTAGATACTCATTTTTTAATGTTAAAGAAAGTTTTATGGATGATAAAACATTTCATGCTTTATTCCCTTCCTTCATATTCTTTAAAGCAAGGCATTTTAAAACCTCTTTTTTCCTCTCCCAGTTTTGAATATTAGTCTCTAATTCAGTGAGAATTCAATCAAATGCCAGATATACAGTGGGATCTGTGCATGACAGGAAGGGCAAAACTTGTCTTCACCTCAAAAAGTTAGCTGTTCTTGTGTCTCAGGACCAAACTCCCTGGAAAAGACTTACTCCTTGTACACAATTTGTGCTTCTGCTTCTCTCCTTTTCTATTAATTTATCAACACAAAGACCTAAAGAATCAGTCTGGCAAAGAAGGATGGAGGAGGGGTGGGCATTGAGGGGAAGGGGATAGGAAAGTCTGGGAGCACGGCTGTGTCCATCATTTTTTATTTCACAGAGACAGGCAATACATAGAGCAGTGTTTTTCAAACCAGTGTGCATCAGAATCATCTGCAAGGCTTTTTAAAATACAGATTGCTGGGTCCCACCTTCAGAGCTTCTAATCCAGGAAATCTAGAGTAGGTCCTAAGAATTTGCATTTCTAATTGTACAGATGATGCTGATGCTCTAGTTCTGGGGACCACCCTTTGAGAACCACTGCTTGAAGAAAAAAGAACAGAAATATATTTATCTAGCATATCTCCGCTTTCTGTGGGAATATGTCAAACCAAGGCTTTATTTACATATGGTTGATGATAACTAACCACAGGGTCAAAATCAAATCCTTTTCTGCACTCCAAGTTTAGGTGGAAATAGTATCTGAAATGGATTTCCTTCACAAAACTGTGATTTTAATATAGTTGTATACAGGAACGTAAGAAAAATACCTGTTAACTCCACTGAGTCATTTAGTGGTTTCTCGCAGATGTAGGGCAGTAGAGATTCACAGGAAAAGCTGTGCCACAGACCAGACTCAGCATCCATTTTTGCACAGCTTGATCCACCTATTGTCGGTGCACTAGACATATCTTCAATGGCAGGATTTTCAAAGAGTTAGAAAGAGATGTTTAGGCTAGGGTGGTGGTTAGAAAAAATAATTTATATTCCTATTTTATTTGCTTTCATGGGAGCTCATAAAACAGTTGAAACTTGTAAATAAATCAAAATGTATAAATCTCAGGGGACAATTATGTGCTAAAATATGTCTTTTTGTAAAATACAGGCTTCTGGGAACTATGTTCTGATAGCACACAGTTAACTTAAAAGACAAAACCAAAACCAAAAACCAAACCTCTGCCCCCAACAACTTCCATGACATAGTCTATGGTCAGTAGCTCTTGATCGTCTACTCTATAAAATAAAAATATTTAATTATGATTTGGTGATGCCTCAAAGGTCTTAAATGAAAGATTAAATAATCTTTAAGATTCTATTTTCTGAGAAAAGTATATTTATTTACAAATAATAAAATTTCATTAATTAAAATGACCTACTAGTATTTTACTGCACTTGATTTTCTTATATGGTTGTAGAACATTTTGTACTGAAGGGTTAACATTTAGTTCTACATTTATCATAAACCTGACTTCTTTTTAAAATGGTATCTAAACCTTTTGGGGGAAATATCTTTTGGCGAACTAAGGTTTTGTTTGTTTTATTCACTATGAAATTTTCTTTTAGTTATCTGTGTAATAAAATACAACCATTATGTTGTCAGCACTTGGATGCTACAGTAGGGAGATCCTGAGAGTTTCAAAAGCAAAAAGGACTATTTCTGAGCCTCCCTGGTGGCGCAAGGGGTTAAGATGCAACCTATGAAGCTATCTGCAGTCACTGCAGCTTGAGTTCAATCCCCGGTAGCCTGGGAGCAATCCACATGGCACAGCAGACCTCTTCGGTCTTGCCCGCTGCTCCCCTCAGCAGTGTATTTCAATAGATGTGCCTATTCTGATCCCTGCTGTGTCTCTGGTGAATCCTCTCGTCCCCCTCCCCCCACCTCTGGCCTGTACACCAGTTCTTGTATGCATAAATAAATCTGTTTTTTTTGAAGGGCTATTTCTGTATTAGAGCAATGCTGTAGATGAAATATAGTAGGCATCAGCCACACACATTAAGTTCTTGGGCCCTGTGTGGGGTTCATCCTGCTCAGAGGTTGGAGACAAATGTTCAGTGGTCCATGGTGTGATTCAACTTAACTACACATCAAAATACAGAAAAGGGTAGGGAAAAGAAATTCTCCTGAGAGGTAACCATATTAAGAGTGGTCAAGATTTGATATTTACAATGTCTCAGTGAGGGGAAAGCTCTTATTTCTTGAAGTGTTTGTTCTGTGCATAGTAAATTGGGGAAGGAGAATTTACCTGGACTCCAGTTGAGAAAGTTTAATGGCTTGTGGTTGGACCATTCCCAGCCTCTAGCAGAGAACAGCTGATTTAAGCCAATCCAGAAAACTCTAGCAATGCCTTCTTTTTCTGTAAAAGTTACATAATTTTAAAGACTGACAGAATCACTTAAGTTATTATCTAACCAGACTTAAGTTTTTACTAATGGCAAAAATATCTAAAGACAGGAATTCCTGTAGGGCACTATTTATCCAACAAAGACAAACAATGTGCAAATAACAAAACTTCAGATTACTGAGAAAGCCAGAAAGACTAGTCAGTTAAGTGATTTCTACTTTCCCATTAGCTTGTCCAGTTCCTTTTCTTCTAAGATTAAAACAGAATCTTCTCAGAATAGCTGTTTGAGGGCCTCCCCGGTGGCGCAGCGGTTGAGCGCTGGGTTGCGAGGCTGCGCGCGGCCTCTGCGGCGCCGGTTCGATCCCCGGCTGCTCCCCGGCCACCGGAGGAGGGTCCCACATGGCGCGCAGACCTCTCCTGCCGCCCGCTGCTCCCCTCAGCAGTGTGCTTCGGTCCTTCTGCCTGCTCTGCTCCCCGCTCTGGCTCTGGTGAATTCTCTCACCCTCCCGCGCTTCTGACTGTACCCAGTGCATGTATAAACAAAACAAACAAACCAACCAGCAAACAAATAAAGCATGCCTCTATTAAAAAAAAAAAAAAAAAAAAAAAAAAAAAGAAATTTAAAAAAAAAAAAAAAGAATAGCTGTTTGACTATTTTTAACTCTTATGCTAATGTAGAAAAAGCAGTTTCCAACACATATCTAGATTTTGTAGATATTACTGTATTCCAGACTGACTGCTTATTTAAGCACATATTATTTACCAGGTACGAAGACTATAAAACCAAAATGACAAAGTCTCTGCTTTCATGAGGATTTCAATCTATAAGAAGGAAACCAGTATGCATCCTCTAAAATGGTAAAATGTTACTAGTGCTGTTTCAGAAATATGTATAGGAGCTCTTTCATAGGCATTAAAATATACTGCTCTAGAATCCAAAGAAACAGGCTGGAAATATAGAATGGAAGATAAACAGACACACACACACCCCTACACACAAATGTGTGCCACATGGAGATATATCATTGAAATTTATTATTCAACAACTATATGTCATCACTGAAAAGGAAAGATCAAGAAGCAGAAATAATGTAAATAGTGAAATTAATTGCCAACATGCCACTCAATGTGTGTATGCCCACAAGCAAGAAATGCAGTTATGCTTGTGTGGATCCATGTGCAATGGAAAAAATATGAAAAGAATATGCAAGTGACTGCAAGGATGTTCACATCACTATCAAGGAAGTCAACAGCATTTTTTGAGAAACTGGTAAGACTTCATCAACTTCACAAAGAAGAATTTGAAGATATTTAGGGCCAGGTAGAAGAAATAGAGCAATTAATGAAATGGTCCACAGAAGACAAGGATATATTCCCAAACAGGAAGAGCTAACAGGTTGGAATTTCTATAAAGCTGAAATATTTCCAGCAGTAAAATATTTGACAACTTTCTTGATTCCTCTCAGGGAATTATGTATGATACATTACTGTACTAGATATACATATGCAATTATATATCATATATATCTGTGTAATCTGCATGTAGAAAATAACATTAACACTTTATATAGATATATTATTTACATATAGAAACTCATAATCATGCTTTAAGGACTGTTTGAGGATAATTTTGAGTATGCACAATTTTTGTTTTACTACAGACTTTAGAATCCAAATTCCTAAAACATGTCACCTACTAGTTTCCCTGGGTAGAGCAGAGATAGCAACAGCTAAGATAAAAGGGGCCAAGAGCAATAATCCAGAAACCAACATTCACAAGGTGGGAAGAGGTTGGTAGGGAAGGAAGTCCAATTATCATTCTACTGAGGAGCAAATGTGATGTTAGGAGTAAATCACAAAGGTACACCATACTTTCCAGGAGCTTGGCTATAAAAGAAAGAGACAGGGCTACAGGATGTAATGGTTGAAGTTTAATCAAATTTATAGCCTGATGAAGAAAAGTCAATGAAAATATAAGAGATGCAAGAAACAGTGTAGATGCAAAGAGCTTGGGAAAAGGAATTAAACTTGAACAAACTGGAGGGATGACAGTTCGGGTAAGTATGCAGGTTAGCAGCTCAGGTTCATCTCACTTTTCTCAAGGAAATAGATGATAATGATACACTACCAAGGAAGGAGTTGTTATTGGAGCAGGTGATTTAGGAGAATGCTGAAGGGAACTCTGGATTCATTCTTTTTTTTTAACCTTGTTAGCAGAATGAAAGGTTGTTAGAACTTGTATACAAAGACATTGAAGATTTAATCAAATGTACTTTTTTCCCCTGTTAGTAAAAACAATTGATTTTCCAGCATTCATAAAGAAGCTCTGGAAACAATGATATATTTATGGTACTCCAGACTCAACCATGTCCTGACATTTAAAATTACTTTCATTCATTATAATCAAGGATAATATGAATGATCATTTCTATCCTTTCCAAGTTCAATGCCCTTCCAGGAAGCTTTTTTCAGATATCTCCCAGAAGGAAGTCTTAATAATTCTATTGCTCCCTCTGATATTCTTATCAGTTATCTGCATATTGTAAGCCCACATTTATAATGGAACAAAATGATCTTTGGATGCTGTCAGGCTTCTAATTTGCTTCATTCCAGTATCTTATTTGTGATCTGTATTGATGACTTATTCTTTACTATAATCACGGTATTTAAAAATTATGACTATGTTGGCAAGCCCAAATATTCCTAATGAGTCTTATGCCAGGTGGATGTGAATAGGAAATAGAAAAATTCTAGATCTCCTGGTTGGGCCTCATTTCGTATATGACCTGGACAATTTCGACCTGGACTTTTTTCTACAGAAAGTTTAGGCAAACGATGAATTTAGCTTTGCCCACCCTCATTTTTGTGATCAAGAAATAGATGATTGCTAGCATAAATCCCCATACCTAGTCAAATGGGAAAGTCCACTGGGTAAATATTTTTTGACTGTCTTGGAGACCCTTGTTCAAATCTGAGCCTATATTTCTATTTCTCTCCCCACAATGAGAAACATCAGGATCTGATAATGGTTGCACATCTTGGATGAAGCACAGAAGAGTCTCTTAAAGCATCAGAAAGGCCATTAATACTTACCTCATAGGGTTCTTATATAGGATTAAATAAGATAATGTATTATATTATTTAGTGTCTTTTTTGGAACACTATAGTCTTCAGCATGTATTATGATTTTTTTCCATTAATTAAATAAATTATCAGGAGTTCAGTAACTTGGGTTTCTTGATTTTTAAAAATAATGTAAAAGTGTTTATAAACTTTCTAGTAAATGATATGGAAGACACTGATGGAACAAGTCATAGAATTTTATTGAGTACATAAAAGGAGTCCTAGATAAATAAAAAAGCATATCATTTTCATGGATGAGAAGACTTAATGTAGTACAGCAATGCTTCCTTAATTAATCTACAATTCAATGCAATTCCAAAGCCCCAGTAGGGTTTTTCTTTGAATTTAATAAGATGGCCCTTAGATTCATATGAAAGAATAAATAGTCCAAAAAAATAGCCAAGACAATTCAAGAAAGAAAAATGAATATAGGAGTATTTGCTTACTTAGAAACCAAGATTTACTATATAAGGCCAGAAAAATTAAAATAGCATGGAGTAGAAACAGAAACAAACAGATCAAAGGAATAGGAAGAAGAGTCTAGAAACAGCCCACATATACAGATGGGAGTCTATGTATGTTAAAAGCAGCATAATACATCAGAGGGGAAAATGTAAAATAAACAGTGCTCGGTCAACTGACTATGCACGTGGAGAACTATAAATCAGATATCCACCTCTATAAATTACATTTCAGATGGATTAAGAGTGTAAATTTCAGGGCCTCCCCTGGTGGCACAGCGGTTGAGTGCTGGGTTGCAAGGCTGCCCGCAGCCTCTGCAGCACCAGTTGGATCCCCGGCCACTGGCAAGGGTCCCACCAAAAAAAAAAAGAATGTAAATTTCAAAAGCAAATTGTGAGTTTTTAGAAGAAAACAAGAGAGGGTATCTTTATTATACTAGGGCTAAGGAAAGATTTGCTAAATATTAATTATTTATGCATACAAAATATAAAATATACAAAATATTTAACAAGTTTCTTGATTCTTCCCAGGGAATTATGTGTGATACATTACTGTACCAGATATACATATGCAATTATATTTCAAATATATCTGTGCGAACATAAGCACAAAGCACTAAGGAAAAGATTGATAAACTTGATCAAATTAAAATTAACATTATCTTAATAAGAGGCAAAAAAAATTAAAAAAACCAAAGACTAGGAAAAGATATTTGTAATCTTACAATAGATTAGTGCCCAGAATACATAAGTAGTATAACAAATTAGTGAAAAACAACTCAATAGAAAATAGGAAAAGGATATAAACTGGAAAATTTCAGAGGGAAAACCTGAATGCCTAAGACACACAAGACGCAAACCATTTTAATTGTAAGGGAAATATAAATGGAGAATAAAATACCATTTCATATCCATTGTATCAGCCAATTAATAAGTGTGATAACACCAAATACTGGAGAAGGTATAAACTTATGCAATCACTTTGGAAAGCAATTCAGAATTTTTGATTAGAAGTGAAGAGATGAGCACCCTACGACTCAGCAGTTTCTATTTTAGAGAAACTCTCAGACATGTTTACAGACAAGCATGTATAAGGAAGTTCCTTGCAGAGGTATTTGCAATAGCAAGAGCAGAGCAGGACCTGTTTCCTAATAGGGTAATAGATAAATTGTGGTTTATTCATACAATGTAATATTTACAAAGCATTAGTTAACAATGGATAAACTTACAAATGGATAAATAAGATAGTATTTGTATTATTTTAAAACATAAAACAATAGTATAATAAACACATAGTATTTATGCATAGATATGTAGTAAAAGCACTCAAGGGATGGATATTGTGAGAGGTGGACATGAAACTTTTAGATGAACTTTGTTAACCTATTTCTTTAAAGGAAGGGAAGTAAGTAAGGAAGGAGGAAGGATAGGAGTGGGGAGGAATATAAAGTAATACGACAAAATATAAGTCAGGGTGGTGGTTATACAGGTCTCTTTCTAGGTTAGAATTTTCCATTTTTGTCTATATAAGCTCTCGTAATTAAAAGTAACAACATAGGGCCTCCCTGGTGGCGCAAGGGGTAGCACAGTACTGTGAAGCTATCCACAGCCTCTGCAGCCTCTGTAGCACAAATTTGATCCCCAGCCGGCCAAGGAGCTACCCACATCGCACAGCAGACCTCTCCTGTCTTGCCCACTGCTCCCCTCAGCAGTGTATTTCAGTCAGTTTGCCTGTTCTGTTCCCCACTCTGTCTCTGGTGAATCCTCTCACCCCCCCCACACCTCTGGCCTGTACCCCAATTCTTGTATGCATAAATAAATAATAAATCTTAAAAAATAAAAATAATTATGTAATAACTATAAAAATAATTATAAAAAGTAATTATGTAAACCACAAGTCTACAAACAAAATTCTACTTTGTGTCCATGTCATTGTATTTTAAGATTTCTTAAATTCTCCTGGCCCCTGAGGAATGCACCTGTTTACTCAAATGTGAGGACTTTTTACTGAAGCCACTTGATGTGACTTAGTCATCTTCTTTACATTCATGAATTCTCTACTTTTCAAAGTACAAAGAGTTGATTGGTCATCTTTCTTCAAATCCTTTCATTTAGGCTTAGGGCAGTAGTTTAATCTTGCTAGTCCAGCCCATTTTCTGAACATTAACCTCTCTTTAGTCTCCATCACATGATGCATTTTCAACGGATGGAACAGGATTATTATACTCACTACTTTTTTGCTTGAGGGCCTCAGTGTTGATGTTTAAATCCCAAGAGAAGATAGAAAGATATATACACAAAACAACATACCGGGATAAAAAAGTAGCAGAGAGACTGCATCTTTACAATTTCAGCAATTTGCTTTACCACACACAAAGTAAACATACCTTTAAGATATGTTAGTTCACCAGCACTGTTGATGCTCAATAAGTCAGCTCCTTGATTCTGACATGAAACATAAGCTTCTTTCCAAGAAAGTGCTGCCTGAGTATTAAATTGATAGCAACTTCCAGTCTGCTCGTTCTTTTCCCAATTATTTTCACAGCCATTTTCTGTTGATAAAAAGATATGTTAGTGATCATAAAGTATGGGCATAATGTTTTCTATTACTTAGAGATAGAAATATTGCATATTCAATGGGCATCTTTCAGGGTGTGTGTAGGGTAAAGAAAATATCAGGCTTTTCTGCCCTTCCGCCATCAGGATAGATGATGGATCCTTGTCCTGAATGCATGCCTGATGGCGGGCACCTGGAATAGGGTGTGGGCATAGGTAGATGGGATTCAGCTGAGCTAAGACTGTGCTTTTTAAGGGCGGCGTCACGGGGGGACGCCAGCAGCAATAGCAGCAGCAGCAGCAGGAGAAGCCGAAGCAGAAGCCGAGAAGCAGCAGAACGAATGCCAGAGAGCCCAGATAGAGTGAAGACTTGCTGGGGGCTGGGAGGCCTGCCAGCCTGCCAGCCCCCCAGCCAGCACCCCTGCCTGCCATATGCCTGGGGAACCCCAAATAAAAAACCTGCAAAACCACTGAGGACTTTGACTCCTCCTTTACCCGGTCTGCATGGGATCAGAAAACCTTCACTGTATCCTGTCCTGCCTTTACAATTGGCGTAAGTCGGCAAGATCCATGCAGACGGGTATTGGAGCCCTCCGAAGACCTGGAGGGACTAAGGAGTAAAAGACTGCCTGTAACGACGCTGGAGGCGCCATGGCGGTATAGAAGATGGATACGTCCACGAGCTGCAGGATGAGACCTGGCGTGAAGGAGACGTCCGAGAGGACCAGCCAACGACACCGGAAAGGACCAGCCAATGACCCCTGAGGCAGCAGGCCGTTGCTGACGCAAGGAGAGGCCAATGGACTTCAACTGATGGACGTGGACTGATAAACTTGGATTGACAATACCGCCAGAAGGCGGAGGACCTTGGCAGGTTATGTTTTGTTTTTTTTTTTTTTTTTGAGAATCTGGGGGTGGCCAGTGGGCCTAGATGGCCAAAAGCAGCCTGTGCATGCCCAGCAGCCAGGTGGAGGAGAAAAGCCAACTAAGAAGGCAAAAGCTGGTACTGATGCTAAGTTGAGAAGCCCTAAGCGGCTGTTAAGCAGCCTGGGTATGCTGAAGCCCTGTGAGTCTCGTAAAATCACCTGTGGGTGATGCCCTGCTCATTCTTGAGTGAGGGTGAGGAGCTGAGGAACCTGTCCTTGGGGGACGGGTGGGGAATGTGGCTTGGGGTGGAGCCAAGCCGAATGCAGAGTTTGGATCCCCGACCCATGTGATTGTGCAGTGGGTTGGCTTGAGTGCAGGGGTCTGTGAGTCGCATGGGTGGCTGTGAAGGCCGAGTGTTGGAGCGACTGCAGACAGAAACCCTGAGGGTTGGCGATTACCCTCAACAGAATAAAATTGCCAATCCCAGAGCTAGTGCATCCTGGGGGTGGATGCTGTGTGTGCCTTGTAGCCGAGACTACAGCCAGAGAAGGCCAGGAAGCCTGACGGCTCCTGGTGTGATATAGTAGATGCCGTGAGTGGTTCCCCTCCCTCGTATGAGCAGTGCCTTCGGCAGCAGATTTGGTGGCTCATCTGCTGGTACCAATAATTGTCTTTTGCACTTGGTTGGTGCCCTGCCTGGACTTATTTGTGTTCTGTTGTATTTTGTTATATTGTATTTTGTTATATTTGATGTATTTGCTTTTGTGGGCCATGGCTGCATTGTTTGTTTGCTTAGAAAATTGTATATATATGTATAGACTGTATGGCAGAAAACCCTGAGGGGGTGGACTGTAGGGTAAAGAAAATATCCGGCTTTTCTGCCCTTCCGCCGTCAGGATAGATGATGGATCCTTGTCCTGAATGCATGCCTGATGGCGGGCACCTGGAATAGGGTGTGGGCATAGGTAGATGGGATTCACCTGGGCTAAGACTGTGCTTTTAAGGGCGGCGTCACAGGGGGACGCCAGCAGCAATAGCAGCAGCAGCAGGAGAAGCCAAAGCAGAAGCCGAGAAGCAGCAGAACGAACGCCAGAGAGTCCAGATAGAGTGAAGACTTGCTGGGGGCTGAAGACTTGCTTTGGGCCTCCCAGCCCCCAAGCCAGCACCCCTGCCTGCCATATGCCTGGTGAACCCCAAATAAAAAACCTGCAAAACCACTGAGGACTTTGACTCCTCCTTTACCTGGTCTGCATGGGATCCGAGAACCTGCACTGTGGCCAGTCCTGCACTTTACAGTGTGATATTAGTCCTTCACTAGGCCATATTTTGATTCTTCCATTACACAAGGAAATTGTAGTCATAGGACACCAAACGACTCAGACTACTTAAAACTTCCATTCTTCTTCTACTATTCACTCTCCTAATCAATTACATTGCCATATTTTTGCACTTGCCTGTCTTCTGTCTAAAGGTAGGCGTCTTCAACTGTGCTCACATTGTCAACCCCTTGAACTAATAGAAAACAAGCGTACTGGAAATGGTGGCAGACTACAGAGATTTGCCCACACCCTGAAGTGAAACCATTATTTGTATGTGTGTGTGTGTGCAAATACACTGTTTAAATAACCAAGATTTAGAGTTCAAATGGCTATTGTATTTGAGAAGCTAAGTCCCACTTTCTCCTCAATAAATTCTTTTATATATGATATGTAACCAATATTAAATAATTAACATGAATGTGTGCATATGTATATAAATGTATATGTACATTGCTGTAGGGTAAGGAAAAATGTCAGGCTTTTCTGCCCTCCTGCCATCAGGATAGATGAGGGAAAACTGTGATCATGAATGCATGCCTGATGGCAGGCACCTGAAGTGGATACACCTGCGCTAAGACTGCTTTTAAGGGTGGTGTCATGGGGACGCCAGTAGAAGCCAGTAGAAGCCGAAAGAGAAGCCGAGAGAGCAGCAAGAGAAGAAGCCGGGAGAAGGCCTGAGAGCCCAGAGTGAAGACCTGCTGGGGGCTGGGAGGCCTGCCAGCCTCCCGGCCTCACAGCACCCCTGCCTGCCGTGTACCTGGTAACCCCAATAAAAGACCTGCTAAAGCCACTGAGGACTCTGACTTCTCCTTTACCCGGTCTGCATGGGATCAGAAAACCTGCACTGTGTCTGTTCCTGACACTTTACAATTGCATAATACATATTTCACAAAATGTATAATGCACATATTCTTTAACAAAAATCTAAAAAACATGTGGTAGTGGCAACCAAGTAAAGGGCTGTCCAGGGTTGGGGCAGGCCTCCCAGACCCCTGTGACTCTTCTAACAATTTCTTTTCTCTGGTTTCTCTCTTATGGTCTTGCCTCTTCTGTAGCCATCCTCTGCCTGAGTGATGCTGCCCTTATATCCCTGACCTCTAGGCTCAGGTGTGCACACTTACGCATGCTCACACACCCACACTCCAGGTGTCCACATCAGGCACGTGTGCCCCACACCCATGCTCCCAACTGCTTTCTGCATCAACAAAATCAAGGCTGCAGGTGATAGCTACAGAGGTGAGTGTTGTAAAAAGCCCGGTTAATTCCATTTACCCATCACATGTGTAATTTCAAAAGAATAAACTTTATTTCCTGGATGAGATATGCAGTACTTGATACAACTGGTTGAAATATATACTCAGAGCCTCTCATGAGTTTAAGTGTGTTTCAGACTCTACTGGGGGCTTTCAAAAAGTCTCCCATGTCTAGTCACTTATCACAAATCAGTTACATATCACATGTCAGATTCATGTACTTTCAAGCTAGATGGGCCCTTAGAGATCCTTAATGCCCTCATTTCATATGTGGGACTGTAGTGGCAGGAATGGGCACAGAGCAGGATCTCTATGATCCGAGCAGGCGGGTGAAGAATCCCTCAGTGGCTTTTCAGGCTTTTATTGGGATTTACCAGGTACACAGCAGTCAGGGGCTCCAGGGGGGCCTGGAGGCTGGCAGGCCTCGCAGCCACCAGCAAGTCTTCATGCTTTCTGGGCTCTCTAGTGGTCTCTGCTTCTCTGTGGTTCTTCCATTTGTTCTGCTGCTCTGCTCTCCTCTCTCATGGTTCTCTCTGCCTCTCATGGTTCTGCTTCTGCTGGCATCCCTGTGACGCCACCCTTATAAGCGCAGTAATCTTAGCCCAGGTGAATCCCATCTATATATGCCCACACCCCACTCCAGGTGCCCGCCATCAGGCATGTATTCAGGACTGCAGGGTTCTGTCATCTATCCTAATGGTGGGAGGGCAGAAAAGTTTGATACTTTTACCTTACCCTACAGGGACCAAACATCTAGAGGTGTTTGTGGCAGAGTTATGAAAAACACTGCTCTCAAGTCTAGACTTGTTGGTCTTCTGAATGACATATACTGCTTCTTCAGTCATTTTTAAATGGCCCATGTAGTGGCAGGAAGGGATGGATCAGGATCTCTATGATCCGAGCAAATGGGTGAAGAAGGAGTCCTGGAGCCCTTGGTGGCTTTCACAGGCTTTTATTGGGATTTACCAGGTACACCGCAGGCAGGGGTGCTGGGGCACCAGGAGGCTGGCAAGCCTCCTAGCCCCCAGCAAATCTTCACTCTCTCTGGACTCTCAGGCGACCTCTTGTGGCCTCTGCTGTTCCGTTCTCTCTTGTTCTGGTCACTCTTTTGCTCTGCTCTGCTCTGCTGTTCCTCTGGCATCCCCATGATGCCACCCTTATAAGCCCAGTCTCTCAGCCCAGGTGTACCCACTTACATATGCCCACACCCTACTCCAGGTCCCCACCATCAGGCCTGCATTCAGGCCCACAGATCTATCATCAATCCTAATGGTGGGAGGGCAGAAAAGCCTGATACCTTTTTTTACCCTACAGTCCAAATAACAAGAGGCAAAAACAAAATAGGTAAATTTGCAAATGTGTTTGTTATACAATACAAACTCCATGGCCTAACACTCCATGAGTTGAGAATCTTACAATCTTGCTTCTTCTGTAAAAATAATTCTGGGAGGCATATAAATGTATTAACTATTCAACCACTACCCTATCCTACTATCCAAAGGAGGTTAAAGGCACTAAGAGACATGCCAGTCAAGGCACTGAGACAGAGCAGGATAATACGTTAGGTTTTAAGGGTTAGGGATCCCAGAATCCTTACCAGGCTCCACACAAATATGGTCTGACCCTGACTAGTAAGTTCCTTAATATGGTTCAGCTGTCTCTTATCAAAGAAATGAGGGTCTGCTTCGGATAACTTCAAAGCTCCTTTTCACATCTAACCTTTTGATGTAAATTAGAGTGAGAATTAAATGAAATTGGTGCCTGGTTGAACAAACTCTGCTTATTAAAAATTACCAGCTAAAGAAAATATTGACTTTTTATCTTTCAATAGGTTTTTAGGTACTAAAGTTGTGGGGCTCCTATCTAGAAAGCTGATTCTCAAAATGTGGTCCTCAGATTCTTCCAAATTAGAGAATATTTCTTGAGCATCTACCATAACCTAGGTACTGTGATTCCCCTGTAACTTTCACGTGACTGGTGAGAAATTATGTCTCAACTATTGTAGGGTAAGGGAAAAGTATCAGGCTTTTCTGTCCTCCCGCCATTAGGATAGATGATGGAACCCTGCAGTCCTGAATGGATGCCTGATGGCGGGCACTTGGAATAGGGTGTGAGCATATGTAGATGGGATTCACCTGGGCTAAGACTGGACTTTTAAGGATGGCGTCACGGGGACACCAGCAGAAGCAGAGAAGCAGAACTGCGAGAAGCAGAGTGGGAACCATGAGAGGAGCAGAGAATAATGCCACCAGAGAGCGCCGGAGAGCCCAACAGAGTGGAGACTTGCTGGGGGCTGGGGAGGCCTGCCAGCCTCCCGGTACCCCAGCACCCCTGCCTGCCATGTACCTGGTAAATCCCAATGGAAGCCTGCAAAAGCCACTGAGGGCTCCAGGACTCTCTCCTCCTTTACCTGGCCTGCTGGATTAGAGATCCTGCACTGTGCCCATTCCTGCCCCTACAGTTATACATCAGAGAATGATGCAACTATTACTTTGGTCTCTCTTCCTAAAGAACAGTGACTTCAAAAAAACATACTCTGAATAGTTTGCTTAAAGTAAGAAACAATTAGGAAAAAACCTCTCTGCCTAACACAAAGAAATGGCAGAGGGAACAATGTCACCAATATTGAGAGGGTTGGGGATGTCAGCCTCTTTTGTCTCCCACTTTTGCTTCAGACCATAAATATACTAAGTTTCGATGACCACCCTCACATCTTCTCCAATGCAGCTTTCACTCTTTTTCCTCTCCATAAATTTTAAAAGGCTTACTCTCCTTCTGTTCATGCTTCAGGCAATTATCAATATAACCCAGCTTCTATGACCATTGGTCATTTGAAACTGCTCTGTTAAAGGTCAGCAGCAATTTCCTAAGTGTTTATTTCTTTCCTCTCCTCTCACTGAGGTATGCATGGTCCAGAATGCTTCCTCCTCCTTTGCCCACTTTCATTCTTTTCCTGGTCTTCAGAGAGAGAATTCATAGCTACATATTACTTCTCTCTCTTTCCATATCTATATCTAGATATGTATATCTAGATATAAATAATATGTATATCTAGATATAGATATATGTATATCTAGATATAGATAAAATATAATATAGTCCTTATGTTAGATATTTGTTGCAGTCACCTTGGACTTTGCTTTCTCCCCTTTGCCTTATCTAATTGTACTCTTTTCTTTCCATTTATAAAGTTTACTAGCCCATACATACCTGGTATTAAGCAGATGCCCCACTTTTGATCATTTTCATAATTTAAGGTGGTGGCACACCATGGCCCACTGTGATTTTCATCAAGAATGCACTCATGATGCCAGGTCCCATTAAGAAAGAATGGAAATTCACAAGGTCTCCCATAGGAGTTTCCATCTCTGGTGTATATCTCTGTGAATTGGGGAGGAGGTAGAAGAAAGGGGAGTTAAAAATAATCAGCTTCAGTTGAATAATCTCTAAAACTGTTTGAAATAAAGATTGTTGTTTTCACTTATGCAAACACAATATCTGGGTTGGCTGCACAGTATAGAAATCAAAAGCATGGACGCTGACTGCGCAGGTCTAGTCTTCAACCTCTATTAGCCTTAAATTCTACATTTGTAAATTAGGAACAATAGTATTTAGCTCAGAGTTGTTATGAGCTTTCAATGAGATAATCCATGTAAAACTTCATTCATTGCAGTTTGAGGGAGAGCTGACAGATCCTGGCTCCATCAACAGACTCCTTGTGGGTGGCAGAGCGCTCCCGCAGAAAGGGTGCCTCTCTAAGATTAAACTTACACTCTATTTTCTTTAGTAAGAGTGGAACAGAAAAATATCTTGGAAGCACTGTGGGTGGATGTGGACTTTTTGAAACCAATTGTCAAGTAAGAGAGATAAACAAAATAGCTCCATTGTTCAGAGATTGTAGGTAGGTTGAGGTATGGATTCTGAGGACATGAGAGGGAGAATAGCTTAAAGATCTACGAAGAACTTACACAACTCAATATCAAAAAAGTAAACAACCCAATCAAAAAATGGTCAGAAGAGCTAAAAAGACACTTCTCCAAAAAAATGCAAATGGCCAACAGGCATATGAAAAAATGCTCAACATCACTTATTATTAGGGAAATGCAAATCAAAACCACAATGAGCTACCACCTCACACCTGTGAGAATGGCCCTATTAAAAACCCCAGAAGAAATAACTGCTGCCAAGGATGTATAGAAAAGGAACATTCTTACACTGCTGGTGGGAATGCAAACTGATCCAGCCACTATGGAAAGCTATGTGGAGCTTCCTCAAAAGACTAAAACTGGACCAACCATAAGATTCAGTGATTCCACTCCTAGGAATCTACCCAAAGGACACAACAACACTAATTTGAAAGGAAACCTGAACTCCTATGTCTACTGCAGCACTATTTACAATAGCCAAGATATGGAAACAACCTACATGCCCCCAAACAGATGAATGGATCAAGGACATGTGGTATATATAGGCAGTGGAATACTACTCAGTGAACAAAAAAGATAAACTCATGCCATTTATAGCAACATGGATGGAGATCATGCTAAGTAAAATATGCCAGAAGAATAAAGATAAATATTGAGTGGTTTTACTTGTATGAGGAATGTAGAGAAGTCAAACAAACTGTCAGGAAAGAGACAAATCTTACAAGATGACCATAAATCTGATCCATAAAGAGAATGTTGTCAAAATGAGGAAGGGAAGAGTACAAAAGACTATGATGATGCATCACGGGTGCCAAGGTGGTGGGAGAACTACAGAGAACTACAGAATACAGTGGAGGGGAGAAATCAAATACTCTTCAAAAATTAACAAAGATGTAAGAAAATAAATAAATAAATAACAAACAAAAACGCAGCAGGTCACCAGGCAATGAAGTTGGGGAGAAAACCATTCCACACAGAGATTACATCATGCGCACAAATAAGGCACATAATATTTATGGGTTTCCTAAATACGAAAGGGAAAGAACAAATTACTGAGAGATGAGTTGGCCAAGAAATTTTGAAAAATATTGAATGCCACACGTAAAAGCCAGAGTTCACTGCCTAATACTCATGACTCTTATACACAGAACAATGAAGTAGATGTGTATTGTGCTTTTGGCTTCATTTAAAAATATATATTTATATTTTAAATATAAATATTATAATAATGTGTAAATGATAGAAAAATTGTATGAATCAGATACAATATGGAAGAAATCCAGGAAATATATTGGGGGTAAGGGCTGATTTAAAAAAAAAAAAAAGAGGAAGAACTGCTGGAACTCTAAATGGACTTGGAGAGAGTCAGGCAAGGTTATGAAAGAAGCACCCACTTGAGTGGACAGTCATAGGACTAGCTGGTGGCCACTGAAGTAGTGGAACTAGCTTTTGTGTTAATAAATTCCCCTGGTAGGGAAATGCAAATCAAAACTACCATGAGATACCATCTCACACCAGTGAGAATGGCACATATTAAAAAAACTAGCAACAACAAATGTTGGCGAGGATGTGGAGAAAAAGGAACTCTTGTGCACTGTTGGTGGGAGTGCAAACTGGTCCAACCACTATGGAGAGCTGTGTGGAGATTTCTGGACCTGCTAAACATAGAGCTTCCATATGATCCAGCAATTCCACTCCTAGGTATTTACTCAAAGGACACAGAAACATCAATTCCAAAGAGCACCTGCACTCCTATGTTTATAGCAGCACTGTTTACAATAGCTAAGCTTTGGAAACAGCCCAAATGCCCAAAAATAGATGACTAGATCAAGAAGATGTGGTACATATATACCATGGAATATTACTCAGCATTCAAAAAAGATAAACACATGCAATTTGCAGCAACATGGATGGCACTGGAAGGGATCATGCTCAGTGAAATAAGCCAAAAAGAAAAAGAAAAATACCGGATGGTCTCACTCATAGCAGGAATCTAGAAAACTTAAATAAGGGACCAGGAAAATGAATATAAGAAAGTGAAAATCAAAATCAACAAAAAACTACGAACCAGAGACACTTTTTGGGGGGTGGGGGGCGGGAGGGGAAGGATTGGGGTCAGAATGGGGCATTTGCAATTGTATGGGGGAATATAAAAATAAAATTTAATATTAAAAAAAAAAAAAAGTAGGGACCAACCAGAAAAAAAAAAAATAAATAAATTCCCCTGGTATACAAAGAGGAATTGAAAATTGATTTCAATCTCTAATATGCCTGGAAATGCTAGGGGAAGTGCTCAATACTTAGGCTAATTAACAGTTCTCTGGAAAGGTTTTTCATAGTACAGCTAACATTATATATATTGGTCACCTTTTTCCATATACTCAATTTCTTTAAAATCATGGTCACTGACAGATAAAAATATGGTGAAGTCTAAATATGAAAAATCAGCATGTACCACCCTTTAGCAGGTTATTAGGGGCCCTTAAAATGCCTCAAGATTTGCTTAAAAGTGTGCTTAAGATGGTATTTGATTCTGCATCCTTTATTATTCTCAAATGTTCATTAACTAAAGTGTGAAAACTGATTTGACAGTGTACAATGTATTAAGCTGCAATATAGCAAAGGTAAGAATAATCTGGAAGCTTTTATTGACAATCTTTTAAGGAACACTGGTTTATTTTCTTCTAATGTAAACACGGTTTTGAATAAGGTACTTCTGTTAGAGAGTGTGTTCACATTATATTTGACAAGAATACAGCTTATTACTCATGTTCTGTTTTTAACCATACCCAAAATTCCCAGTAGCTCATCACCAATTTCTGTTACACATCAGAACAAAGGACAGCCTCTGATCTTGATGACTTTTGCTAATGGAATAGAACCATCATTTTTTTCCCCAAAGAACTTACATTTCTGTTATACAAAGTACTTTCAATTACATATCTCTTGCTCTTTACCATCAGCCTGTGAGATCAATAGGGCAAGAATTATACTTGTTTATGAAATCCCCATTTTTGCTGAATAGTTATGTGAAAGATTTGGTCACTCAGCTGTCAATGATAGAGGTGAGAACCTGCTCACTGATTAATGTCCTTGACATAAGGACACCTTGTGACACCAAAGGCTCTCTTCTCAGATTTTAAGTCATGTTTCATAGCTTAAAACTTGGCTTCAACAAGAAGTCTCCAATGCACAGTATGCCATGAAGAATGATAAGCACACAACTGCCACCACCACAGCAGCAGAAAATTGTGCTAACTATTCACTAACAGTTTTAACAGTTTGTCACACATTGTTTGCTACTGTTTGACCTCTTAAATCCAATAGACAGACTTTCCTGAAAGAATCTTCTTTGAATGTGTGAATTTATGGTGACAGCATCCTTAAAAGAACAGCTTATTTGGGAACAGGCACTCACACAAAAAACTAATAAATTATTTTCTTTAGTAACATGAGGCAAAATCACATCAATGGTTAAAGAGTTAGGGAAGAAGAGTTGCTCAAAATTCAAGAGAGTCCTATAGCTATATTCCATTAAAAGTCCATTTTCTTTTGCATAATTCACAAAACATCCAAAATTTGAAGTGCTATTAAGGTTGAGCTATGGTAGATATACAAATGCATATCTGGAGGCCAGTCAAAAGCAGTTTATTCATAAAAGTTATACAAGTTATATCAAAAAGTTATGCAAGTTATATAAAAGTTATATCAAGTTTTCCCTGATATACATGTAACTCACACAGGATGGGGGTTGTGGAGAGAGGCAACATAGCACTAATGACAAATTGGAAGTTAAAATTTAATCTAATAAATTAGATCTAATAAAATCTAATCTAAACTTTAAAGTCAAGGGAAAAATCAAGAAACTAAATTTGGGGAACACAATCCTGGTTTTCAGTCCTACCTACCTACAACAACTTGGATAATGTTGGACTTCATTTTGTTGGGACTTACCTGTCTTATGTTTATACAACTAGTCAGGAAGGTGGGGTTAGGGACTAAATGGGAGTCCAAGACAGCAGTCCTAGAGAAAGTCCCTAATTTCAGACAGTGCCCTCTATGAACAGGAAGGGAAAACATAAACTTAATACGTAAAATGACCAAAACTTAATATTGACTAAATATGAAAGGTGGAGAAAAAAGCAGAACAACTCTAGGATTACTTGTAGATTTCTGACATTTGTGACTTGGATATATCAGTCACTGAGACAGGAATGTAGAAGGGGAGGCAGGTTTGGTTCTGACCCCTGTGCAAATTCATATCTGAGGTATATCTTGACTAGTCAGAACTGTATGTGCCCCCACACCTCCTTTTAAAATAAACTTCTCAATTGGAAATTTAGTGTTCCAAATATTGTGTTTGGAAGGACAAAAATCCACACTGTATCTTTGGGCTTTTGCTGGTGGTACTGCTTTGCTCTTTCTGGAGTTCTTAACATTTTTCTGCACCTTAGGTGAGTTCTTAGCCTTTTTCTGCACCAATGATCACTTAAGCAGCCATGTGAAGCCCATCGGCCATCTTCCCAGAAGAATATTATAAATGCAAAAAATAATACAAAACATATAGAATTAGAAAGAAAACTATAGTTAAATGAGGCATTTTGAGAACTGATTCACAATTTTTAACATACAATTATGTCCCTTCAAAGAATTGAAAGCAGGGGTGACATCACCAAGATGGCAATAGAGAGCTCTTCCTTCACTCCTAAGAAGAACATCCACTCCTAAGAAGAACATCTAATAATTGATTAGAGGGACACTACCCTGAAAGAGACCCTTGCACCTTGGAAATCAGGACAGATCGCACTAGTAGGACAAGGAGGAGAGTCACACTTCATTAAAAGGAGGATGTGCAGTGATTCCAGTGTGGTGTGTATAACTGTCTTTGACCTTAGTGTGCAAAATTATAGAGTACAAAAAGGATTCACAATGTTGAGGCAAGGTATCATCTAACCAATAAATGACTTCTGTGCTGAAATAAAAGCCTAAAAAGCAGTTCAACAACAACAACAACAAAGGAATTAAAAGCAGGAGAAAGAGTCCTGACAAGAAAATAATTCCTTTTGAGGCATAAATGAACACAATGAAACCAATAAAATCAAGTTCAAAAGGCATTTTGTTTGGGTCCATATTTTCCATAAGCTGCCAAGTTAGAGAAAGGCTTTTGTAGCACAAAATTTAAACTTACCATTAAGTGCTATCCAGAAAGCATTTTTTTTTTTTTAAGGTTAGGAGTAAGATGACTAACAGAAACTAGAATTGTTTCCTTGTACTCAAGGACTGGAGAAAAGGAAACCCCCATCTCTATCTAGAATTTCCCCTTAACATTAGAACCTGACATTATCAGAAGCTGTTGTATCTTCTCTGGGAAATAGAAAGAGGTTATTCTTGGAGAAAAATATGTGCAGATAGTGGGAATGATGGGAAGTCAAAGTTAAAAGAGTTTTAAGAGAAGAGGAAAATCTCTGTAAAACTATATAAATTTACAGAGACAAGCAAAGATGAGGAACTAGTCAGGACTTTGATATATATATCAACATTTGATGTAATTTAGGGCAACATGATGAAAGAAGATTCATTTGGCTGATAGCTAATAGCATTTAGAAGTTCAAAAAATAAATCTACTTATTCTTTTTAATCTTGGAAATTTGTTGTAATTCAGTCTCTAGACTCCAAACAAAGGTTATAATCAAGATAATCCCCAAAGGCAACATTCATATATTTATTTTTGGAAGCAACTGAGAAAAGTCTATTCTCAAAATGCTGAATAATAAATACAAACATCAGAGTATGATAACCACGCCAAAAATAAAAATAAATGAACCCACATGAGGTACTTTAAAACTTCCCATTATATTAAAAACAGCAGACAAGGAAAAATATATTTTCTTTAAGTCTTTTTCTTTCTTTTTTAAATTTTACTAGATAATTTGACTTGTATTTCATAGGAAGGATTTCCTGTTATTTTAACATTTCCTTTTACGGCATTTAGAATAATGCAATCATAAGAGATGCACATGCTCAGGTATCAGAGTTTTTTCTGGCCTGCCACAGAATGACTGCCTAACTTCTGACAATCTCTCCTAGCCTTAACTGTAAAAAAATGTGTGAATAACACCCACTACACAGAGATAGCTGACATTACTGTACAGTGCCTAGAACTAAATGCTAGCTCACTGCTTTACCATTTTAAGGCTTTATTTGTATTCATTTTCAATGCCACATTTATTAAACACAATAGCAAATGAGTCAAATCCCCCTCTAATACTCACCATAGTAAGGCTGGTCACACAGGTTTTCCTCTGAACCTCCTTTCTTCCAGAAATCAGATGAACTTGTGCTTGCTATGGCATGTCCATCCTTCAGAACTAAATTGTATCCAGCAGCTCCATACAGAGAACGGTGATCACATTTCCACCATAGCATGGCACGGGAGTCACAGCTGAACATTCTCAAGGTATCCATGGGTTTGGTGATATCTAGGCCAAGGCACTTCTGGGATTGCACATGAAAGAGTCGATGGTGGGTCACCCACTTCCATAACATATCCTTGGTTTTGTCACAGTCCTTTGCTACTATCCAGCCATCCAGTGGTTGGATACACTTGCCAGTGTTTTCATTGACAATGGTGAATGGCTCATTACCTGAGTTAAGAAAGACAAAGATGTTTCAGGATTCTGAATTATGTGGTCAATTCATTTTGGGGCCTTTTGCTAAGGATTGTCTGAGTACCACTGAACCATTCCCACCTTCAAGGGGCATAAACTGACATATTACACAAGAGCAGAGGACAGTGACAGTTACAGAGGCAATACAGTGTGGGTAAGGGCATGGGCAAGTCTGCCTGGGCTCATAGTCTGCCTCAGCTACTTGTTAGCCATATGAACAGCCACATTTAATTTCCGCACCTCAGTTTCCTCCCTTGTAAAATAGTACTTCATACAATAGATATGAAGATAAAGTGAGTTCATACATGCAAAGCACTTAGAATAGTACACACATTTGTTATTGCTATTCCATGAAGGATATACCCTACCCCTCTTACTTAACAAGATGAAAATGTTGTCATCTTCCTCAGACAGGTGAACTGCCATCAGTGAAAAATACCCTGAGCCTATTTAGGAGAACTCTGTCTTGCTAATACGTTAGCTACTATGGCATGGTAAATTATTACATGACCTTAAGTCTCTCAAAGAAGGTGAGACTTACGAGGAGGCAGAGTAGAAAAGTGGGATAAAGGGGTCAGAAGACACGAAGATCTGGATTCCTGGGGTAGAGGGACTTGTGGCCAACGCCATCATAGCACCTCTGGGGTGGTAACAGGAAGCCCCTGCAGAAGGGTTGGGATAACTGACAGTGTGACTCACTTAGGAAGGCCAAACTTGAGCTCCAGGAATCACCTAAGCCACTGGATTAAAGATCCAGTAGATCTGAACAAAGGGAAACTTAAAAGTAACCAGTGTGCGCTGAGGATTCAAGTGTCCTAGGGAATTTTGCATGAGCTGGGAAAGACCTCTCTCTGCAAAGAAAGATATTGAAGTTTTGTTAAGCTGGTGGAATGAGAACGCAGAATAATATTTAATTTAGTTTAATGGAAATAAAGTAATGCATTTTTCTTGATTCTGTAGCGCAGGATTCACATTTGTTACAACAAAGTACAATGGAACAATTTGATTAATGCTTTTACAAAGAAAATTTTTTTGTAGTTTTGGCACAGAACATCATGTTGATGTAAGTAAAGTTGAAATATTTAAGACAAACTTAAACAATCATTGTTAAAGAAACAAAGTGCTCAAGGCCTCCTTTGTGGTGTAGGGGTTAAGTCTCAGTGCTATCATGCTAGTCTCAGCACTATCATGCTAGCACCACTGTGTCTTGAGTTCAGTCCCTGGCCGGGGAACTAACCCACATATGGCACAGCAGACCTCACCTGTCCTGTCTGCAGCTCCTCTAAGCAGTGTATTTCAGCAGTGTATTTCAATATTTCAGTATTTCTGCCTGTTCTGCTCCCCACTCTGTCTCTGGTGAATCTTCTTACCCTCTGCACATCTGGCCTACACCCCAGTTCTTCTATGCATAAATAAATAAATCTTAAACAAACAAATAACAACAACAACAAAAAACCCAAAGCCATTAGCAGAAGGATCTGTGAAACTTTGGTTGCCCAAACTGCTTTCATTTTGATGCCAGCTTTACAATAACTGATTTCACTAACACTAAACACCTTTTCTAATAATAATTTATAGGTTTTCAGCGTTAAAAATTCTAATACCAAGAACTTGAGGGGAAATGCCTCATACCAAGGATACGAGAGGAACTTTCACGTTAATAACAACTATAAAATTAGGTCCTATTCCAGTTACTACTTTGAACAGAAGTTTTTGTTTTAATTACAGCAGCAGCAAGATAAACAACAGGAATAAAAACAACATCCTTTAAAACTTTAAGTTATTTATGCTTTCAGAGCTCTAATTTAGAACATCCTATAGGGTGGCAGCTAAGTGTGTTTGCCGTTGCAGCTTCCACCCCCACTTCTCTTTGACATCACTTTATGGGGAGGATAGTTCACAAAAAAGGAAAATATACTGTCTTAGAAGATTGTTGCTCTTATTTGCTCTAATGCCGTTCCACTCAGATTCCTATCTCTCTTTCCCAATCATTCTCTCTCACCTCTCCCAAATAAAGCTTGTGTTCCAAAGTATCAGAAATCATTGCAGGAAAAAAGTAGTTTGTTGCAGTGGGAGAATGGTTAGCTGCCACTTTTGCCTTATCTACTCTGTAGATTAGATAAGAGTACCCTCTCGTACTCTATAGTCTCTGCTCTCTTTCCTGGACATTATAATTTGTGCCCCTTCACCCTAAACAGATGAACTGGGCAAGCAGCAGTTTTGTCTATCCTGGCAATTTAAGGTTCTAATTTTTTCAAGTTACATTTGCAGAACACAATGAATTAGCTCCAGCTTAGCATAAAGAAAAGAGCAATGGAATAAGGAATTAGAGGTCCTAAATAGGGTTTCTGCTATCAGTTAGCTGAGAGGCCTGAATATACAAGCTGCTAAGTTTCTCCAGTGTCTTTGTATATATAAATGTAAGAAGAAAGCAGTGGCTTAGTATAAGATAGCTAAGCCACTTCCAGCACTACCATTCTATGCTTCCATATAACAGTTTTCCTAGTCTTCTTCTGGGTTTTAAAAGTCTGGATTTTAAAAGTTTGCTAACTTCACTACTGCATATTGCTTTTGAACAGATACCCACATCTTTATTATATTATGCTAATGCTAATAGTACTTAAGATCATTCTCATCCCAACTGTATTGGGCATGTTCATGTAGGAGACAGTGCTGCTTTATAAATATTCTTTGGAAGAAAAAATAAATGATCCAGTCCGCTTTACTCTATGTTTTGTAACTGGGACACCTGCAGATTTAACAAGCTTGTAGGAACTGTGAACAGCTACAGGAAGAGGTGCGGAGTAGCATGAAGTAGCTATGTGAAAGGGGAGCTGTGAAACACCTTACCTAATTGCAACATCTAAGATTTAAATGCTTTCTTGAGTCTAAATCATTATTTAAATCAAGTATGTAATATCAATGTTTGACAACTTTAGTGGTCATTTATCACAGACAATAATTACTGATATTTAAGGAAACTTGTTGTTAGCCTTCATACATAATGTATTTGCAGACATAGATACATAATGAAAGCTAGGGAGAATACTGTTCTTTTGCAACAAGCCCCATAACTCTCCTTACTCTGTGCAGGTGCTGATTTAGACTGCCCTAGTCTTGTCTCAGTGGCCCCACTAGTAGGTATGAAGAGTGGTATGGTAGGTTGAAGTGTGGGAACAAGGAGTGAGAAAATGTGAAAATAATTTCTTATTTAGAAAATTTGTTAAATATAAAATATTTATGACATGTATTATCCTTTGAAAAGGTAACTACAGAGTAATTTAGAAAACAGTTTCTTTATCGATAGCCTTATATTGCATCCTGTGTACTTTATAACCCTATTCTGGCACTAAATAGAATGTTAATGTTTACCCTTAAATACATTATTGGGACAAGTATAAAAGGCAGAAGTTGGTGAAAAGAAGCCTTACCACCCCTAGTAGCACGTCTTATATGTTGTTTTATATAAGTATTCTATTGTTACTTCAGAGGAAATTGCTAGGTAGAATAATAAATGGAAAATGAATTTCAATATGCCCACATCCATCAAGGTAACTATCTCATATTTCTGATCACTAACTCCTGTCTTACAAGCCCAAAACCAAAGAGCTTTGCACATTTCAAAGAAAAGCTGAATATCAACATTTTATAACCACAGACAAATGGAGAGGAAGAGGGCCTGGGAAGGCATGAGGGATGAAGACTGCAATAATTTTAGACACAAGGGAATTTCCAGAACCCACACAATTAAGCATTTTGAGGAGTTCCTACAATGCATGCTGAATGCACAGATGCAAGTAGAGAAGTTAAGATTCAGACATTTTTGCTTGTTTAAAAACAGGTTCTTATGTGATAGATCCATGGCAGTCTACTTGGAGTCACGAAGTCGTGGAGTTCAGATGGGGTGCTGTGGGACTCCCTAAGGATTGGTTTACTTCAAACACTTAGCTCTCCAAGGAGGCAAAAAGTAAGCAATTGGCATCCCCCCAAGGACACAGAGGCACTCTTCCTGCATCTAAGCAACAGAGACCACCTGCACAAACCTAGCCTCTAGCACATGACAAGGTGCATGCTTCTCTCAGCATGGTGAAGCTGACACATTGCCAAACAAGCTATCCAAGTGACTGGAGTTTCAGAATTTCAGTGTATGCATTACCAGAGCCACAAGTGTGGTATGAGGGTGTGAAAAAGCTGACCAGAGGAGCTGCTAAGGTTGAGGAAGGATGCCGGGAAACAAATACCTGTGATGACTGGGTACAGGGAGGATGGAGTTAAGCCAACGTTCTTTGCTTTGGATTGATAAGAAAGAACAGAGATTGTAGAGATTGCAAAAATTAAGGAAACCTTATGTTCTGTGGCGGAGACAAAACAGACAGGACTAAAGCAGAGACTCATGGAAACCAAGAGTTTAGTGATTGAATGGTTAGTATGTTTTGACCAGCTGCTGCAACGAAATTTTCCTACCTGAAGTGTGGGGCAGGCAGAATAGAATTCTTACAGTAATAAAAGATCTTTGGTATTTCCCAACACAGAGGGTCAAAGAAGAATGGAGAAATGTAAAGTAGAGCAAAGTCCACTAAAGGGTTCCTGATGTAGATAGGGGGATTCCACTTACTTTCTTTGGAACTTACCGTTCTGTGAAGAAAGTCTAATTGAAGCAGTTCAGCTACAAAGAAAACAAAAACCACAAGCAAGCTGGCCATCTTTTACTTCCTCATGTAGACAAATAATAAAAATGGTAGGTGGGGATAGCCCACTGATTGCTCATTGGGCAGCCAGAATAAGAGACAAAGTCCTTAGCACAGTATCTGCCATAGCAAAAAAGAAAGTAAAAGCAAACCGGTTCCTGCCAGAGTATGGTGGGTCTGACACTACCCAGAGCATCAGCTAAGGGCCTCTGCCTGGGTTCTGCTTTTTGGATGAGCGGCAGGTCTCAAGGCAAGCCACCGATAGGCTCCACCCTGGGACCGTAGACCTCAGGGGGTTTGGAGCTGATAAGTCAATTAGACGAAAGGCTTGATGCTCAATTGGAAGAGGCCTAATAGTGATCACTATCACCCTAATAGTGATCTTCGTGGTCACGCAGGAGACAAGGCTTAACCTGACTTCCTTTTTGAAATGCACAGCGGGCACAGAAAAGTCAGCCCTCCCTTCCCTCCAGGAAAGACGACGTGCGCCCCCCATCTAGAGGACCCTCTTGCTTCCCCACGCCCCACCCTGCCCGCTCCCCAGCCCCTAGTGGCTTTGGAACGCGTCTCCTCACATCTTCCCTTGGGCTCACAGGTCCGATTCCAGACCCCTAAGCAAGAGGTGACGTGATCCCGAAGGGCGGCCCCGATCTAGCCCCGTCGGCGGAGCTGGCTGCGTGGAGGCCCCCAGCTGGCCTGCGGACCGACGCACCGACGGTTACCTGTGTTGCCAGCGGGTTCCGCCAGCACTAAGTACCCGAGGAGCAGCGCAAGCAACTGCGCCGCACGGCGAGGGGTCGCCCAGCGCGTCCTCATCTTGAGCGGGCCCAGGCGGTCCAACCTGGCAATCGGGCGCACGGAGCACCCACCCGTCCCGGAGCACCTAGCTCACCCCGCCAGAGACTTTGCCGAAGCCTCCCCGGACGCCCGCCCCGCGCCCCGCCCCCCCAGCCAATCCGATATGCAGCTGTGCGGTCCCGGGAGGGGCTGGGCGGGGCAGGGCACGGCACGGCAAGCGGGAAGGTGACGCGCAGGGCGGTCTGCGCACCTGTGTGGGGCCAAACACACCCCGACGCGCGGAGGGAGTTTTGAGGGCGAGCGCAGTGTGACGCGGGCCACTAGACTTGGGGTCCGCACCGCCTTTTCCTCCGGAAATTTGAGAAGCGGCACTACTGGGACTTGGCACCGCCCTAGGGTGGTTGGTTCACTTGGTTTAGGACTTTGTCTTCTGCTTGGCACACCTCAGTAAGGGATGAATTCTTCATCGCACAGCAGGCTGGAAAGGCATCCACAGTCTCTCGTACCCCAGCGGGGGACTGTTGTGTGGGACAGGTTGTGTGGCTGCGGAGGGCAAGCCACGGATTCAGTGTCCTTGGCAACTTCTTGCTTATTTTGATAGTGCAAACAAACAAAGGTGAGGAAAAGGTGAAGCACACCCACAGCTGTTAAAGAATTAGAAGCAAGAAATGTCAAAGTGCCCTTATGGTACTTCCATGGATGATTTAAACTTTATACTGGACCTTTACAAGTAAGCTTTTTTCTTAATAATGAAATCATCATCAACCAGTAGAAATACGCCCAGAACCGGCAACTGAGAGTAGAAATTATCCTCTCCCCGTGGGCACTGCTATCATTATAAATGGAGTGACCGCAGTTGCCTGGAGATAAATGCCCTGTATTTAAAAGCTGTGTTTCCTGAACACGTGTGCGCCCCCCTGGCCTCCTAGAGTGCGTGCTTCCACGTGGAGGTGACCAGCTGGGCTGCGTTTCCTGATTCCAGCCCCAGCGCTTGCTTCAGTGATGGCTCCTCAAATCTCCCTGGACTCTCTCTCCCCCGGCTCCAGTAGCTGTCCTGAGCGCTTGCCATGACAGGAACTGGGCATGTAGCTGGATAAGGTAAAAAGACAGCATCCTAGCCCTTTCAGGCTCATTGCATACTGGGGGAGACCGAGGCACCCACAGTAACTCGGGGCAGAATGCAGAGTCTCAGACAAAGAGTCAAGGAAGATGACATCTCCACTGGGCCTTGAAAAATGGGTAATGGGTAGGAATGTGACCAGGCACAGTTGGCGGGAGAAAAATAGTGACAGAACAGAAGCAGGCAGTGGCAACGCAGTGTCAGGAGACTGTCAAGAGTCCAGCGTGGCCGCTGTGCAGAAAGCTTGTCGCACAGGCCTTGAAGGTCGTTGTGAGGGGAGCTGAAGTGGACATCTCAGCAGAGAGGTGAGTGGTGGCCATTTTGTGAAGTGTCTTAAGGACTTCAGCTTAATTCTTCTGGGAATGGGCAGTGGAAAATTCTGAGGAAGACAGTCTAATCCGCCTGTCCCTACAGTGGTGACTGCTCCTCTTTCTGATCCTGCCCAGCATGGAGCTCCCTGAGGGCAGTGGTCTGACCTTCACTATCATGTCTCTAACACTAAGCACCAGGCCTGTCTCAGACTCTGGTCCCACTGTTTACTTAATGAATTCCTAGAGCCACTACCTTAGCCTCAGGCCCCGTGAGCTTCTGCTTGCTTTATGTACTTTGGTGATTTCTCAGTGGACCTCATTGCAATGGTTGTTGTCCTCTCTGGCAAATGAATTGTTCTAAACATGCCATCTTTTTCTCCTCAAACCTTTTCAGTGTAGGGTTTTCTAACTGGGAGCTCAGAGGCTAGAGAATCCCTGAAATTGTATACAGTTTTATAAATGTGCTTTTTATTTTTTATTTTTTTAAAAGGAGTGGTCCAAACCTTTTATGAGTCTCAAAGAATCAAAGAAAACAAAGAGAAAACTCCATCTAGGATAAATCAAGCCTCTCTATGATCTTTATCTTTAATATCCCATGTAGCTCTTTGGTTCAAGCAACCTGTCTGAATCTGTTTTGCCTTTTCTTATCTCTGTGTATACAGTCTTTTTTTTTTTTTTAAGATTTATTTTTATTTATTTATGCATAGAAGAACTGGGATGTGGGCCAGAAGTCCTGGGGGTGAGAGGATTCACCAGAGACAGAGTGGGGAGCAGAACAGGTAGATCTACTGAAATATACTGCTGAGGGGAGCAGTGGGGGAGACAGGTGAGATCTGCTGCACCAAGTGGGTCACCTCCCTGGCCAAGATCAACTCAGGCAGCAGGAATTATAGTGCTGAGACTTAACCCTTACACCACCAGGGAGGTTCCCATATAGCCTTATTTTTCCCTTCTATAATCCCTCCGTCTTCCCTCCCTTGGCTTATTTCCACCCTTCTAGTTAAGGTTCTGCTCAAATCTCATATTTTATATAAACTATTTCTAAGGAAGGATCTAACCCTTGGGGGTTCCAAAAATCTCAATAGTGTTATATATTTTGTTTGCTTGACATTTAACACATGCTACCTCCTGCTGTTATTTGCTGTAGGTAAATGTGCACTGATTCCCACCTAAGTTATAGATACTCCATAAATATTTATTGTCTGTGGTGACAATAGAAAACAGTGTATCCTTCAAGTTTCACCTTGAATGTCACTCAAAGAAATCTTTCTTGACTCTGCAGTCTAAGTGAGCTTCTTCTGTGACAGATTCTCAATGCATCCCACACTTTGTCTTGATAGCATTTACCCCAGCTGGATTAAATAATTATGTTCTTGCTCATTTTCCCTCCACAGCCCCTTTCCCTCCACAGGCTGCAGACCCGTGAAGGTGTGACTATGTCTGTTTTAGTCACTTCTGTATTCCCAGTACTGGGTGCCTGTTTTGCTGGAAGAAAGAATCAATAAATACACAGTAAATGCCTCATAAAGGATGACTGAATAAATAAATACATGATAAATCCCTCATAAGTGGTGTAGGCAACAGAAGGTCTAGGCATTTAAAGAAGGGAGCAAACAGCTACGGTGGGAGGGAGGGTCTTCAGGCATGGGACTGAATGTCCTTGAATGAGTAACATTCAGTAGATAGAGACAATGGGGAGGACACTCCAAGCTGAGGCAATGATGTGAGCAAATTAATAGATACCTCCCACCTATTGGGTACCAGGCCATTGTGCCCAATATTTCCCATGTGCCCACTTAGCTAATTATCATCCTATGAAGATAATACTATTATCCTTATTTTACAAATGTGGAAACTGGGACAATGCAGACAAGGCCCATAACATGGCCAAGGTCAATGTCAATTAATGAAGGCAAGATGGAAGTCTAACTTGTAAAAGAATGTTTGGATTATTTTATTCCCAGTTACAATTAGGGAGAAGGAACATGAGCTTTTAGGACCTCTAAAGTCATATTTTAATTATAAGTAATTAAAAAGAGTAGCTATGTTTGTGGGTAACTTTCTGCTCATGTCCACATTACTAATTACCTTTCCCCACCACCTTGAGGTAACCATGCCTTTGAATTGCTATTCCATTCTTTACAGTTTTCCCATATAGTATTTATTCTTTAAATGGTACATATAACTTAGCATGTTTAACATTTTTGTGTAAATGGATTATTTCAAGATTTTTTTGCTACTTACCTCTTTTGCTCAAAATTTTGCCTTTCGCAGTCATCTGTTTGGGTGTGTGCAGCAACATTTCACTTACTTTTATTTAGTATTTCATTATAAGAGTAAAGCTTTGTCCATCCTTTTGTTGGTGGGCATTTGGGTAGTTCCCAGGTGGGTAAATGGCTGTCCATAGCTAACAATGTGTACCAGGAGAATGTTTTTATACATGTCTCCTGGTGCACATTGCTAGTTTCCTGGGGGTGTGTTCTTAGAAGTGGAATTCCTGAAGCATGGGGTATGTTTAGCATCAGGTTATTAGTCAATGCCAGTGTGCTTTCCAGTTTGTAGTCCGAGTAGTGTGTACAGCCCATGGTGTTTTAATGAGTTTGGTCGGGGGAATGCTGTCTCATTATGATTGAAAGTTGTATTTCCCTGATTACTCATGAGGTGGACATATTTTCCCATGTCTATTGGTTGTTTGTATTTCCTTTCCCAATTCTTATACAGGATATTTTGTACAGGTTTTCTCTTGAATTCAACCCTGCCCTTCCTTGCTTTGAATCCACAGGGACTACTCTGCATTTCTCAGGTTTCCTGACCCACTGCCTTCTGTTTAGAGTCAGCCAAAGAGATGGAAGTTTGGAAGGGCAAGAGACTAAGCTGTTCCTCTTCTCCCTGCTTTGGACTCATGTCAAGCAATGACTGTAAGTTTTCTGTGTTTCTGACTCCTATCTGGAAGCCCTCCTTTATGCTCTACTTCCAAAGAGAAAACTCCTGCTATGCTTCCAGTTGCTTTTGTGTGATTCCTTCTCTGAGATTCTAGCTCCTACAGAGCAGCCTTGGCTCCTGTGCTGATAACAACAGTCCTCTGTCCTGCAGGCTCCATGGATTAGCTTCTTGTAGTTGCTACTTTCTGGAGATTAGACTCATTAGCACTTATTTTTAGCCTTTTCAACATCTCTGTAACTAGTCATTTCCCTTGAAATTTCTCTTTGCCTGAACTACCTAGCATAAGATTTGTCCACATTACTAGACCTAGATGATACTGATACAACATATGAAAGAATTGTACCTGAGCCAGCATTAAAAATTGATTAAGATATGGATATGAAAAACTGCAAATGAAGCCTATCAAGTGGCATAAGTTGTGGCATAAAGAGAAACAGTATGGGATGCACTTAAACTGCAGTTACGATAATGCCCATGGATGGTCCCAGGTGTAGTAAGGAGAACCCAGGGGGCCCAGGCAAAGGCTTGGTCTAAGAATAAATTTTGAACAATTCCCACTACACTGTGATAATAAAGATCTGCATTTATTATTGGTCATAACTAAACTTATGAGGACTATAGTCATGGACATAGACCCCAAGGGGCAAATATAAGGTTGTAATTCATCCACTTGAAAAAAAAATAAAATTAAATAAT